AGCAGATGACTTGATAATTAATATAATTGCTAGTTGCAGCGCAGCCCTAACATTTAGCCCATCTGCTTTTAGAGGTGACGCCAAGATATGCAGCTTATGATGACGTTACACAATACCAGCAATTGGACTGCAATACATGATAACTGCTAATCAATCAATGATGATATAGCATTGTATTTGCGTAAGCAAAGACTGAATTTAACCACTGAACTTAACAATGGTATCTTCTATCTTATTTAATCAAATAAGCACAAAGTCCAATAAATCCCAGTCTACAGCAAGAGTGTGTTTTCCCCCAAGATGGGCAGGCAGACCAGGTAAACACAAGTAATGTCATATTTTCCTTTTTGAATGTAGACCATACCCCTTTATGGGTGTCCAACAATGGTTTCTCTTTTTAGAAAAACCCACTCTCAGAGTGTGAGCACCACATGGATGATGTTCATTACATGCCAAGGTTGTCATACAAACGATGGAAATACATATTTTGCAGAAACTAGCAATGCATAACTATCCAGCTTAAATCTGTGTATCATTTGTTCTTTCCCTAAATAGATTTTTATGTTTAATGTGTCCGATGTCTCTACAGAAATTGCTTTTATTAATACACATCATTTTAATAAAATCACGTTCAAAACCACACTAATACATACGTTAGTTTTCCAAAATGTCTACCATAATGTGGTTGGCCATGTCAATCCGTTTCCTTGTTTGTGTAAAGCACTGTGAGGCTCTCTTCCGCTGAAAGGAACCGGTTCATTCTCATACTTTCTGCTCCCACACATTAGCCATAAAAAGCTTTGATCTTAATGGAAAAACTATCCTCTCATCGGTTCCCACTGTAGTCACTGGTGTACAATTCCCCAGTGAAAGCAGGTCAGGCTGGTTCAGATCTCCCTCCATAGCTGCTACAGGCACTTTGTTTGTTGTGGTCTGTTATTAGTGCTGATCTGTCTTTTCCACCACCTCATCATGCAATGTTACATCATTAAGAAAATGTATAACACATTTATAACTTGTATAGCTGCCCTGGTTTAAATTTTAATCTGATATCGGGTTAGGGTTGGGATGTTTGTGTGATTAATTGAAAATCAACGTCCTGGTTATTGGCTTATACCTATTGACAGTGGAATAAAATTCACAATGGAAGCAGAAGTCAACATTGATTTCCGGTTGTACATCGACACTTTCTATGAATATACTGTGTGTATAGAGATAGAGAGGACTGTGCATTCTTAACAAAGTCCTGCCGGCAAATACTGTCTGTTGCAGCAGGATTTAATTTAATTTATTGTTTTTGTTCTTGAGTCTAGCTGCCAAACCTCTCTGCACAATCTCTCAGTATTGACACATATTGTTAGCATGTGTTCACACTCAGAAAGATGTGTTTGTAGGTGGAAGTAAACTAGTGAGGGAAGTGATTGGCAGCATGCCTCACTGTCCAGTCTGCTCAGATTTTTGTTACATTCGCTTTTTATAAGACCCGGTGCATAACTGGTGTGCAGTACAAGTGCAGTGTGGGCGGAGAAAGATCAGCAAAGCGCAGTGAACTGCAACTTGCTTTTGTGTGTGCATTAACATCTTCTGCCCAAGTCCCTCTGGAAAGTTTTAATGATTGCGTGTGCATGCAGGTGTTTTTGTGTTTTTTGCATATGTGTACCAGACATGTGTGCATTTGTTTGTGATGTGATCTTGCTCACAGACAAGTAATTTATGCTGTGTGAGTGTGTGTAAGTGCACGTTTATTGCACTCTGGTCCAGTATGTAGGCGTTCCTAATGAGGCTTGAATTTGTGCTGCATGGCTCAGAGCCACACTTGTTGGCTCAGCGATGGGAGGAGCATGTGAGTTAGAGCAGGAGTAAGAGGGGTTTGTAAATCTTTAATTCAAACACCACCCTGTGGTCATTTTACATTACCAGCATTTAAGTCACGTTAGAATAGAAAACCTATGAAAGGTTAATTAAGACTTCCCATTAAACTTAAAGTACTGTAGATCAAGTCTTGCAGTGCAGCTGTAACAATAATTACCAAATAATGGTGAATAACCTTTTGACAAACCTCAAACTGTAAAAGCCAATACCATGTAAATGCCACGTGATCTCCCGTTTCACAGGCACTCTGTCTTTTTTCCAATGGCTGAGCAATCCCAGGAGAGCAATCACAGGTCAAGCACTGCCCGATAATTAGTGTTCACAGCATCCTCACTCAAATCCAGCCATAGCCGCTTCAAGTTGACAAGTAATGAGAGAGCCAGAAAGATGAGCACATACCAGAAGGACTGCTCCTCATAACAGGAGTTCAAAGAGGAGCGTTTCTATTAATACCCTACTACTGCCAGACTGACGATCCAAAGTTAAGACTGGTACATATTAGAAAGCACCTGCCAACATTTTTGGAGTGCTAGTATTGCAGATAAAGTCTAACCATAGTGTTTACGGGTCATGATAAGGGTGAGGTGAATTAGTTCATTTAAGTGCCACGCAATGTAATTACTATGTTATGTGCCATACAGTTTACAGCATGTTCAGGGTCAATTGCACAACAAGGTGGCTGTTGGGTAGGGCTGGGCAATGTTGTTGAAAAATGTATCATGATAAAATGTTACATTTCAGTTGATACTGATAATTATTGGTAAGTTTTAATGACTTATTTACACAATTTAACCAAGTTATTGCTATACTTGTTATGTGCTTTCATGGCAGTTTGGATTTAATGCATTTAAGTGAAACTATTGATATTAAATTGGACAATTCTGTGTCTATTGTTGATATATAGCTATTGTTTTATGCCCAGGCCTACTGTTGACTACAAATGTGGGTTTGTATATAGGATGATGATGTCAAAGTTAGGTCACAGTTTTGTTGAGGTTGATGACTGTACCTCTATCAGTTAAAGTTTAAAACAGTTACATTTTGTGGGTTTGAAGTTTCAGAATGAACCATACATAGTCATTTTGTTGATAGTCATGCAGCCTTTTAGGTCTGTGGTTGAATTAAATATTTCTTGTTTGAATGTAGGTTGTGACTGATGACATGTTGCGTACTTCAAAAGTTTAGTTATATATTTCTTGTTTGAATAAAGAATTTGTCGTATTTCACCCCACAATTTTCAAAGCTAATCCTCTTTTAATTGCCATGGCAGCTCGCTGTGCATCTTTTTCTTAAAACTGATAAACTAGCAACGAATGATTAAAAGCATGATTTGATTCTTGATTTCAAAAGGGAAGATATTTCTAGTTTCAGTTGGACTTAGACAAAGCACATTTTGTACAGATAATGTCACGTTCCCTCTTCTAGACTCTGGCATCAAGCTGTGATTGTACTTTTGTAATGTACTTTTCAGATGACAAAATCTGTTAGGCTAGCATTGCTTTCTGAATCTCGCTACCATCTGAACCTGCCTGCCTGCATGTGTTTGAAACGATCTAGTTTAGCATTAAGCTACTGCTGAACTTCCTAGCTGGACATCTTCCAAGATCAGCCACCTCTACTCCCCCTTGGTTGCAGTCCAATTTACATAAGCACGAGTCGTCTTTCCAGTGACCATGAGGCACCATGCCACTGTGAATTTAGGTTGTGCTTGTTTGGGGAGACGAGTGGAGGTGGGGCTCCTGGTCTGTGAGACTGACATTAACAAGTTCCATTTTTATACTCTCCTCACTCCTGTCTTGCAAACATGGCTATAGAGAAAAAGGGTGGAAACAACACATGGAGCATTAGTAATATCAGCAACGCCATGGTTGAGGTATCTATAGACCTGAACGTAAAGTCATTATCAAGCTTATCAAGCTTAACAAGCCAACTCTGTTACATAATGCCCATATACATTCCAACTAGTGTGCTGCCAAAACAAACAAGGGAGAAAAGATTTAAGCCCTTCTAATGCGGTCAAATTCTTGTCATGGATTACACAACAGTGTCAGTCTAATACTAGTTTAGAGTCTGTTTGGCTACAACATGCCCCTTTAAACCTGACACACTCTCAATGTACATGCTGGCACTTTGCCTGCAATACATCCGCAAATTGGTGTTGGTGCCGAGTTGAGCTTCACGCTGTAGTTCAGGTATCTTCATTACTTTAACTCTAATTATAGGGAGTCGAGTGTAATGACAACTCTCTGTGTGTGTGTGTGTGTGTGTGTGTGTGTGTGTGTGTGTGTGTGTGTGTGTGTGTGTGTGTGTGTGTGTGTGTGTGTGTGTGTGCGTGCGTGCGTGCGTGCGTGCGTGCGTGCGTGCGTGCGTGCGTGCGTGTGTGTGAGCGCACAAGTTTTCTCAGGTTTAGACGAGGCTTTAATGTACATTGTAACCAAATTGGAGGCTTGGGGTGAGATTTAGAGCTCAGTTACTGCACAGAGGAACTGCTGCTGCCAGTGCTTCACTGGGTTTGGCTTATTTGCTTACACATTAAGCATTAATGAAAAACGATCAGTGCGCTCATCAGAATGAACAAAATATCAAGTATATCACATTTAAGTCATACATAAGTTCATACTTTGAATACGGATACTGATTGATACTTTGAAGAGACCTTTTTAACACATTTATTTTATGGTGTTGCCTTTTTTTCTCTGCAAGATTTGATTTATTTTTTTTGGGACCAGTGATTTTTTTGCAAGAATCTGCTGTACAATATAGTTTAATTCTTTAAGCAATACCATCGTCGTGCTGCTTATTTAAGCCCTTGTTCTGATATAATTTCTAGCAATTACCATAGGAAAAGTCAATCAATCATAGAAACAGCGGCACAATGTCTGTTTTCAGTTCAGATTCATTTCCTTAGCCGACTGGATCTGTCCACAGGGTTTTCATGTCTCCTAGCAACTGTCCAACATACCACTGAGACTTACTGCAGCCTACCTTGACTTGTGCACAGACATTTTTATATTTACATCCAGCTCCTTCATGCAGAACGTCTTTACATGTTTCTCTCTCTCTCTCTCTCTCTCTCTCTCTCTCTCTCTCTCTCTCTCTCTCTCTCTCTCTCTGTACACATACTTTAGCTCTTCACCCAGAGCAGGAGAAACCAGCAGTTCCGTGGTGCCAGTCCAGTCCAAGCCCAGTGGGCAGACGCATAAGATCTGTTTGGTGTGTTCAGACGAGGCCTCAGGATGCCACTACGGGGTCGTAACTTGCGGCAGCTGCAAGGTGTTCTTCAAGAGGGCAGTCGAAGGTTGGTCTCACACACCCCTACCTACTTGCATCCACTCACTCACTCAGACCTGACACAATACTATTAAACATCCAAGACACATTTTAGATTAGAATGATGGTATTTAAATCGTTATAGGAAAATGTTTGAGTTTGTCAATGAAAATTTAATTTTTCATTGAAAACTTTTTCATTTTTAACCTATTCATATTTTTTCATTTTTAACTGTCTATATTATGCAGCCACAACTTTGTACATGTGTACCTAGTAGCAGTGGTTAGCATCCATTAACTTTGTACATTTTGTCCTAAATATTGTCATTCATTTGATTTACATGACATTAGCTGTTGCACAACAGTAAAACATTGCAGCTGTTTTTATTTTCTTAGGCAGCAGAAAATTGAATTATTTCTCAAAATCCAGGGTCAGAGTGGAATAGTTCATGTTCATGTTCATGTTGAGCTTTAGTAGACACACGTCACATACTTTTAGTGGTTTTGAGTCTTAGTCCTGACCTTGCTTTTCAGCGCCTCCTTCTCTTCTGCCTTTCCTGTGTCAAAGCAGAGATGCCTTCCATTTAATGTTGATTGAAAAATTTCAGAGGAAAACCCCTTCTCCAAAAGTATTACTACTACACTACTTCCTATTAACACAGTATTGCCTTATGGAGGAGTAGTATTATAATGAGCTTGTAAGATTGCTTCACTTCATATGATATCTTGTAATACAGTATTAAGTTCTTGTCTCGCAGGCAAACAGTTTGAGCACTAATTGCCTCGACACAATCTTAAAGTGGGAAGGGCAGGAATGTTCCTGACAAACAAAGTAATTTGTGTTAAAGGCTTTCTGCCATGCATTCCATATCCCTTTGCTTCTCTCTGCTTCAGTTTCATCTCTCTGTGTAAAGCTCCACAGATGTGTAATTAGTTTGAAAAGGCTTTCAGAGGAGTATGTAACAGTTAATTTATTATTGCATTCTTGGACAGGTAATACCTGAAGTAACAGTAAATAAACTTCTCTTGTCTCTTGTTTCCATGTCCCAGTCCCTTTCTTTCATTCTGCTCCTACTTTTACTTTCTCTGTCAGTTTCCTCTATCTGCAACAACATTTCTAGTGAAATGATACAGCCAGTGTCAAACTCAGACCAAACTTACTGTAAGGAAATCATTACTCTGAATGTAAGGTGATGTAGTGGACACTGATTTGACTTCTGCAGCGGTTCACGACTAAAAATTGGCTAATGGAAATGGATTGATAATGGAACATTTTAAGAAGTTTTTCGTCTCCTGCATATGAAACTTTTATTGTAGGCTACTATTCCTTATATGTGTAAAAACAGTTATACAGATAAATTAATAAGATTATCAATTGATTTGAGCTCGACAATCTGCTACAGTTAATTTGTTGAGTTGTATAATTGTTGACTGTTATCTAGCATTTCAGCTTTTTTTTATGTGGTGCTGGTGTAAATGTCAAGCACTCAAACTGAAGTGTAAGTTTTATTTTGAAACGAGCTGCCTACAGTAGCACTGAGAAAGTTATATGTGTTATTTTTGTTTTTCTCCCCCCTCTCTATTCTCCGGTCGTTGTCTCTATGGTGAAGGATGGAGAGCACGACAAAACACAGATGGTAAATAAATGCACTTTTAATCATAACAATAATAATAATTATAATTATGTTGATGACTATGATGGTAATACTCCTCTGATTTGCCCATGTGCCTGTATTCCTTCAGCACTGAAATATGACCAGTCTGCTTAGACACATGCACAGCCTCTTCTGCCAGCTATCTGTTAATGCATGCAAATGTTCTGATTTGGTAATTCAAGTCAGCGTAAATTGCCTGTGAGTGATTTTGTGCTCTTCAGTTTCTGCTTGGAATGCCCCACCTCATCACAGGTAGTAGACCCAATAATTGCAGTCACATCCTGTCTCTAGTTAGGCCCACTCTGTTGCACTTGACCCACATCAACCTCCAGAGATCTGATGATAAAACAACTTCAACTTCTCAACTTGTTTTACCCCCTTGTGCTTTTCATGTGTTTTATTTATTTTGTGTTGCACTGTTTCAACTGATATTTTCGACCATATTTAGGCCACGTCAAGGGCTCTTGAAAACATCCTGCTGGACTTATAGTCAACTGATATCAATATATATCAAATGTAGAAAAAAGTCTACAGGCACATGGCATCATTGTCCTGCGAAAAGCATGTATCCCTAAAATGTCAACTTTTTATAAACTTAGCCCTTTTTTTCAGCTTTTGTACATTTCTCTATTCCAGTTGGTTTTTACTTCAAATATAGGATAATTCTATCTACCCACAAAGGATCACTTAACCCTTCATATTTATTAATTTTCTTTAATTCTGAAATTTTGGTTAACATGATTTTTACTGGGCAACCACGATAATAAATGTATAATGTGTTAATGCAATGAATGAGACCTACATTATACATATTTTTATATATTATATATATTTTATATATTATTAATTATAATTATTAAGTTTTTTTCCAAAGGAACAATTTAATCTAAATTGATCTATAAATTGCAAAGCAGTTTTTTTTTTTTTTTTTTTGATGGCTGCTTGGCAGAAAAATGCAGTTGAGGAAAAGTTGTTTGTTTTGTAATGATAGAACCCTTTTTAAATCATTTGAATGGGTTGTAAGTCTTTGAATTACCGGGGGGGTATTTGTTTAAAGTCATTTACATATTTAGGAAATTCAAAATGTGATTTATTTTATCCGATTGTAATTTAATTGTTTTAGTTAATTGCTATGCAGAAATACCAAACATTTACTGGTTTTAGCTTCACACATACAAGGAGCTGCGTCCTTTTTAATTTGCAGACAGTGAGATTAAGTAACTAGTAAGTTTTGCTGAACTGGTTAGTTTCAAACTCTAGGCCTCCTTGCTGTAAGCTGACAGCACTAACCACTGGCCCACTGAGCAAACACTCATTAGCTGCAGCCCTACATGTTAGTCTAGAAACCCAGCCAAAGGCTTCACCAACCAGTGCCAGGCCGCTGTTAGCAGATCAGGGCAGTATAAGGGAGAGAGGATATCAGAGGGATTCAGCTGGCACTTTTGACACCACAGATGGCCGTTTACACCATTGTTTGCAATGACTTCCTGTGATATCAGTGATGGCTGCGACTGGCAACCCCCAGGCTGCTATCTTGTCATCACACTAACAACCCTGCAGATTCATTTCCAGTCTATGTGGAATATGATTATTCGTAACGTTCAAAGGTGATTCTTTTTGTGATTCTGGCAAATGTTTAGAGAAACATTGCGTTTGACAGTATAAACCTAATTATTATGTACGTATATGACTTAACTACCATCACAGCATCACCGTTTTGTTACTCTTATATTGGTCCATACTATGAACTTTAGTCTTTAGTTTTTACACAACTGTGTTAAAGCACAATACATATACAGACACCTGTTTGTTCCATCTTGATTACAGAATGTATTTAGCTTCAGCCACTTCAATGTAGGGTGCTGGTGTCCTGAAACATCGTTAAACTGAGCTAATCATTTGCTTGATGTCCCAGATTCACTGTTTGCTGGTGCTCATAGTACACGCAGGTTTCTGTTTTAGGCTTGCTTGTGGGCATACATGTACAGGAGGAGGGAAGAATAATGCAAAGCACAGGATAAAGTAAAATGGAATGTGAACTGACTCATTGTTATGAATATAACTACTCAGACCACAGTCTTCAATGTATGGACAACCTATATGACCAGTGGTTCAAAATACAGGATATTTTCATAATAATACTTTACAGATAGTAGTAACAGTTTTCACTAAAATACTGACTTTAGTTTTAGATGAGCATCTTAAACGTTGGATAACATTAATGAAAAAATAATCCTTTTGTGAACATCTACAAGAACATTTGACGGTTGTCGTTAATCTTTAACAGTAGTTTTTATTTGTTGATGTAAATTGTAATACATTCTGTGATAGTTTTCCTATTCAGAAGTTACTTCTTTTAAGTTCTCGTCAATTTTCATTGACACAATTAACACTGCTTGCTAACTGTTAGGAATGGTAGTGAATCTTGAATGCATGGCTAGACAACTTGGGATTTGTTGGTTTGATTATTGCACTGCTTGGTCATGAAGTATCACATGACAGTTTTATGGAATATATTGGTACACACTAAACATTGTTGGAACTGGTTCGGCATTGTTAAAAGGCTTTCCGAATACAAAGGCAGTTCTTATATTTTTATTAGGAATATCATTTTAATATAAAGGACAGTATGCTGCTGTTGTGTCAATGTGCCTCTAGGATGTAGCGATACAGTAACACAAATTACACACTTTACATTATTATTTTGACATTTTATTATATGGCGCCAGCAGTATTATTGAATGCCCTTTAGTTCAAAAAGCTGCATCAAACACATGATATTTCAAAGATCAGTAACAATGTTTATAGTCTCAAAGGGCATTTTGTCAAGGCACTGTTGACTTTGTGCAAGGTCTTGTTTCAGCCAATGATGTATTTTTGAGGTCATGCAGAAACTTCTCAATGTATGTGTACAATAAATGAAGGGTTGTTGGAGACTGGCAGAAGCAGAACAAGTAAATTATTTATTGTATCATCATAATTAAGTATGATGATCTCTAAATTAATTTAGAATATAGTGCCAAGTTTCAGGAACATGAAAAGACAGTGTTCCCATGTAGTTATTTATTGTATCATCTGTTTCAGCTCCTCCTTACAGTGTAAAAGCTGTGTAGATCTGCCCTGTAATGAGTGATGCTATTATACCCAAGTGACTAATGAGCAGGCCTTTCACCTTACCTCTCAAAATGCACAGTAAGTGGTTATGAGAGATTACCCCAATAATTTGGTGACATTCATCCAGAAAGGGCATATGCTCTTAAATAACATGTGCTTTTGATTTTGCAGTGCAAGAATGCAACTCTGTGGAAAGCACTGTGATATGGCTGTGTTTTTCTGTTGCGGCGTTTGAGCTGATTCTAATCTTTTTCATCGTCATTTTGCAACTGGCATAGCATCTTCAGTGTGCTATTGTTTCTCTTCTGGACTAGGATCTAAGTCAGCTTTTTAGGAAACAAATAGTTAAAAATAATAAGTTAATACAGGCCATGACAAGACTATGAAGCTAACTATAAGAGCTGTGGATGATTTGAGGGAAGAGGCAGCTTTGATCAAGTTTGCCGAGGAAGTAATCATCTTTGAAATATATCTATATCTCATAGAATGTGTCTTGTTAGCAGTGACCTGCAACTGAAGGATGTGCCAAAACCAACAAGAATCATTGTTCCCGACAGATATCATTTAGACGAGTCTTTCTAAATCAGTTTTCCACAGTGTGAATTGATGTCAGCAGCAGATGTGAAGTTCATTGTTGGGTTAGTGACTCATCTAGCACATCAGAGGTGATTCTTGTTAATCAAGACAGTTGGATTTCATGGAACAGCTGTCATAGTGAAACTGAACAAGATGACCATGGCATGTTTGGCATGATGTTATGGGACATACCCTGATTAATTTAGTCTAATAGATTGATTATGTCTCAGTCTGAACGCAAAAGAATGTGTTGATGCTGCAAAGTAAGATCCATGTGATACTCCTCAGGCTCTGCCACACAAATACTGTATGTGTTAAAAGATACTTTGACACTTTCACTGTGGCACAGGCTACTTCTACTGAACTGATGTGGTAACATCATGTAAAATAGGTTATCCAGGCTTGATATGGCAATAGCCCCACAGCTTTATATCGGTACAGAGATGTACAAGATGAAGACAGCATAAGAGCGTTTGTCTGAAAATGGCACAATTAACAAACCCGGAAACCTTTAGGCTGAGAACCACAAATTGAGAGTACCATCAGCTTTATCTTCTAACAAACTATTGAAGTAGTCAAGCCTGTTTCCAGTGAATAGCGTTGGTTGTATATAACTGACAAACATTTTTCCTAAAAATGTTTGATGGTGCCCACACATCATTTCTTCCCTCTGATCAAATATCTTAAATTAAATGAATCCAATCACAGTTCCACCTCTTGTTTATTTTCCCATATCATAATCATGCACGGCATTCATAAGCAGATTGCAAAAGAGTTATTATCAGGGAAAGCTACCATCTGCAAACAAATGTGGACCATTTAGATTCAAGTACATTGGCCCCAATATGAATATGGACCATGTCTAATTGTTTGTGCTGAAAGAGCTTGGTACACAATCATGGATTGTGCCATGTGTTCCATGTGCAGACTTGAGGAAATGAAGCTGTCAACACCAGAGGGATGCCACAGGCTTGCCAGACTTACAGTAGACTTACAGTAGAGCAGGTGGCTAGTGTGGTCATAATACATACTGCTTAGGCTAATCCTTCTCAAACCTTCTTAGTATGCTAATATATCTCCTTTTTCTTCTTCTTCTTCTTCTTCTTCTTCTTCCTGTCCTCCTCTGTACAGGCCAGCACAACTACCTGTGTGCAGGGAGAAATGACTGCATCATTGATAAGATCCGGAGGAAGAACTGTCCGGCCTGCCGCTTCAGGAAATGTCTTCAAGCCGGAATGAACTTGGAAGGTGAACAGTCTGACTCATCTTTAAATCATGCCAGACCTCATTAAAACTGATTTTAACATCACCATGAAACAGCAGTTAGAGTGGATAGTGGCTATCAGCCACACCTTCCTCACCCATGATCATTGTTAGATCAGGAGCCAGAGGATGAGGAGAAATGAAGCATTAGACCTTAATTAAAGGTTTTGCCTGTTGACATTGAAATTCACACCTCCTACTATGATAATGCTTTGCAAGCTACTACGACTCACGAGCTAAGTTCAAGTGTGGTTTTCTATTTTCTTTTACATATATTGACCTATACTGGAACAATTATTACAAGGACACAGGATTAGAACTTTTTTAACTTGTTAAAATTCCCCTTAAGTGATTGTCGCACAGACCCTGTGACACTGCCACCCACTCTTTCCACTACGATCTCCAGTTTCCACTTAAGCCACCACCACCCAAGTTTATAAAAAAAATGTGCAAGTCACATTAGTTCAAATATGTCACTACACCTCTTGCTTAAATGATCTATCTGTGAAAATTCTCATAAGAAATACAAGAGATCATGCTTTTAGCTTAACATTGTAGTATACTAAATTGCACTTAAGTTCTAAATAAGTACTAAGTATACTTCATAACAATTCATTAACAATTCTGATTACTTTAAAGCAACTTTATGTTTTGCTATTTCCAATTTGGTGTCGTTTCAGAGTACAATTCACTTATACACCACTGCCATAAATATAGAAACTAGTGAGTCATTTGTTGTTGGATTGTTTTTCTGCGTCTATCTGACTAAAAGTGCATCGACTAACAGTTAAGTCAACAAATAGGGGGCAGCCCTAATTACTTACTAGTCCAACAGCAAGAAGGCCAGCTATCTGTGTTACAGCCTTATATTTTGCAAACCTCTCGCCAACAACAGCTCCCGGTCCTGCTAACTGAGCCAATTAGCTAAGGGCAGCTAAGTTACAGTTAGCAGTTCACTTTACTGTCCATCAGGAAACTCTGTAAATCACAGAGAGTTGAGGTGGAGCAGCTGGAGAACATCAGAGGGAAAACCAGATAACATTTTCTGCATGGTGGTGTGTGGCTTAGTGCTGTAAAATATTACACACTTCTCTCGACTCGGACGCCAAAATTACATAGTGAGAGAACAGGCGTACAGGGTGCAGATTGGGAATGACATAGTAGTGATAGTATAATAGTGATTGATCAAGGCAATTACTGTCTTTTATAAGGCAGATTACATTATTTCAAGACCATAGCACGTGTCAATATATCATATCCCATTTATTTCACTTTCACAGTCTCACACTTTTGATTAAAAGAAAATGCCTTGCTTTTAAAGATTGTGACAGTGACAGAGATCAAATCAGATCGCGGGCAGACCTTTTAAAATTTTTGTTTTTAAAGGTTTAGAGGTCTGTGGATTCGAGAGTCAAAATAAGACCTTAAAAGATGTTAAAAGTGAAACAAATAGCCTTTAGTCTAGTGCAGTGCCATAACTAGGTCATCAATGTGCCACAGCTCTGTGGAAAAATTTGATACATCAACAAATCACTGAAAAGTCCTCCTGAACATTTTGTTCTAAAGAAGCGTCAGAAAGGCTGCAGTGTGGATCAGCTTGTGTTAGTCACTCATCTGTGAACGTGTGCGTGTGTGTGCCATTGTCTATGAACATGCTGCTCTGTACACGTTTGCTGGTATGCAGGCCAGGCAGAATGAGATAGCACCACCTCCTCACACGGATTGATCAATACATAAGCCACTGTCAAGTCCCCAGTCCACATCCTTGGATCACCTGGTGATGTTCTAACTAATTCTGCTTCAAGGGATAAATGTTTAGGTCACAGTGCAGCAATTATGCTGGGTTGTGGTTTTGGAAAATGGACATGGGAGGCAACAAGCACAATCACTGCTTAAGTGCTTGGAACTTAGTCATTGTGTTACTCAAGCAGGTGCTCCCTGAGAGCATGGAATTTCTGTCAGTGGTTTGTAGAAATCAGTGTTGAGTGAGATTACATGTAAACAGCCCAGTGTTCGTCAGACGGTGAAAGTAGTTTCACAAACAGACAGAGAGACAGAAAGACAGAGAGAGGGATTTGATGAACGTCAGCGCATCAACAGACTCCTACCAGAAAGGCTCTTAGTTGCCATAGAAACGCCAGGAGAGGAAATTAAAAAAGGTAGAGAGTACGAAAAACATGTTTTTTCATGGTAACCTTTTAACCCCTGACATGTTTTGCGCATTTAGTGGGAGAATGTGTCAAAATGATGCCCAGGTAATCTAGATATTGTGTACAAAAAGACTAATTTGCCATTGCTGTTGCACTCAAGGGAAGCTGCAAAAAGATTAAAATGTTAAAACAATGTTCCTCTGAGTAATGGACTGGATTTTTATCTTGGTAAAGTGAATACTTTATAGCTTATTACTAGGCAATAACCAGCACGTTGCAATCTCCTGACCTTTCTCTGGTTTGTTAGAACTCATGGGGTTCAAAGTGAGTGCACTTCAAAATTGTGTTGTTATTGTTGTCTCTCATATTGTTTATTTTCAATTCATTAATTAAACTGTGTAAAAAATTTCAATCACTTATTTGGTAAGAAAATTTAAGGTTTGACAGCGGCCTTAGATTAGGGTTTTTTTCTACCCATTATTATGATAATGTATTTGTTGTTGGATTGTAAGATGCAGAATCATTCTGTAAGAAAATATCAAAGAAAATCTGGTATAAAGGTGAAAATGCATAGTTCAGTTTAATGTAAACTGAGAATTTATTGATGTAACACATTTTAAATACATACATTTAATTATTAAATGTGACAAAATTCATAGTTGGTGGTTTGCCGAGGTGAGGTTGACATGTCACCACTTTCTTGTAAAAAAAAAAAATGGTGTGAGATTGCTAATCACATTGAAAATAAGAAAATTTGATTACCATAGTAAGTGTATCACAGTGTCATCTATTAAACAAACAGTTTGATCTTTAACTTATCTTGCTGTCTGGTGTCTGTTGAAAACAGAAGCATCTTCCTAATGCCTAAGATATGAAATGAACGACTGCCATTGCTTACTGGTCTCCTTCCCTCCCTTTCCACTCCTGTGTATCGTCCCCCAGCGAGGAAAAACAAGAAGCTGATCAAGATGAAAGTGCAGCGGCCCTCTGGATCATCGGAGCCCATCAGCAACATGCCTGTTCCAGTCATCCCTAGGTGCATGCCCCAACTCGTGCCCACCATGCTGTCTGTGCTTAAGGCAATAGAGCCAGAGATCATCTACTCTGGCTATGACAGCACACTGCCTGACACATCCTCACGGCTCATGACCACTCTTAACAGGCTGGGGGGACAGCAGGTCATCTCTGCAGTCAAGTGGGCCAAGTCACTGCCAGGTAACACATAAGCTCCTCACCATGTGTTGTTGCCTTTGGTGTGGTTTAGATGTGTACCACTGCTCAAGCAAAGTGTGTCACTGGCAATGTTTCCAGCTTGTAATTGAGACTAATGTGTAGTGAAGTGGGCCAAGTCACTGATGGAAAATGAAGTCATTTGTTACTTTTAATACATGCAACTTGTCAAGGATGTTGCATCATCACTTTTAGATGAAGCTTTCACTTTTGCCCTCCAGTTAACCAAGCATCTGCTTGTCAGCATTGTTAACATTCCTCAGTAAAACTAAAGAGCATGGGTAGCTCCAAGTTAACTTGTGAAATGCAAAATATGTGACATTTCCATTTAAGAAACAGAGCCTACCATAATTCAAAATGTCAGTGTTCCTCCTCGTGGTTACAACAGGTTTTAAGACATTACTCTACTCCAGATTTAGACTGCAGTTACTAGCTGGTTAAGTGGAATAATACTGTTAATGAGAAGCAAAGAAGGAGCCATTGTGTAGCTAATGTACATCATTTAGCTGATTTAATCATGGTTAGGCTGGTAGCCAGTTATCCTAATTGTGGTGGTCATTGTGGAAGTCTCCACGCCTCTTAAAACTGTATAAAACATTTTTTTTTTTTTTTTACCCCAATGATTCCTCTTGGCAGTGGAGCCAAAGAACAATAGATGTTCCGTGACCATGTAACAAAAGGTGTGACCTCTGTAATGGCTGAATCTGTAATTACAGACAGAAGAGGAGAGTAATTGTGGCTTATGCAAGAATGATTCCTTTTAGAAACTCAGCCTCTCCAAAGCAGTTTGATCGGGTCATGACCAAGGTTAATATCTTTTTGAATGTGCATAAAGATGATGTCCCTAAAACACGCTAAAATCCTCATCTCTGTAAGGCAAATGTTCCCACAGTGAGCATACATTTTCCTTTCAATTAAAATCAGTGCATTTATTGTCAGTGTCATCTTGACTTATTTGCATTTGCATTTGCATATTATTCAGTTTCTGGATTATCTCATCTAACCACGTCACATTACAAAAGTGTGTGTGCATTAACGGTGTGACGTCTCAGGAGACCGTGTCGAAAATTCATCCATCACCATAGAGTAGCTCCAGTATTCAGACTCTGGTGTCAGACTGAACATGAGCTCCTATCAAGTTGAGACTCCAAAACAAAATGCTTTGGGATATAATTCGTAAAGGGATATACTTATATTTTATTGTTGTCCCAAATAACTTAAATTCATGTTATAAACTTAGAGAAAAAAAACGTAATTGCTGGGGTTAAAGACTACCCTGTTTCATTTCCACAAAAATGGAAACACAAAGAGTTTGGAATTTAACAACAGCTAGTTTCTAATCATGAGGAAGAAGGCACATGACCTGATAATCGCTTCAAGTATTTGCTTGGAGATTTTCTCTTCTCACTCTAATTGTTGTGATTGGTCACACCAAAGATTTCAGATCAGATTTCCCAGAGAAAACCTCTCAGTGAAACAGCAATATAAAATATATATATATATATATATTATTATTATTTTTTTTTTTTCTGTGATCTTTCTCTCTCTGAGGGACAAATCTGGTTCCAATCTTGTGTGTGCATTGTCTACAGCTGGCAGCTTGCCATTGCGATAGTGAGGAAAAGCTCTTACATAACAGAGCCACGGATTAAAACAAATGTAATGTGAAAGGGCTTTTCATGTGCACTTCCACTTTTATAGTTTTTTTTACTTTGGACCGTGTGGAAATGACTGAACAGTAATTTGATTCCAATTTGAACATCAGCTTGACTAGATTTATTTTATTTTGAATGAGCTGGTGTGGTGATTGTGTTGTAATGATTTACTGAGCAATTACTTTTCCCATTTTTCGGTATCTCTGTAATACAGACAGAATAGGTAACATGCAGTCATACAAATACAGTAAATCATTGTTTTCCAAGCTGCAGAAACACCTTAATCTTCTTTTGGTGCAGACATAGTACAATAATTGCTACTGTCAGTGATGATTGATCAACAATGTTTAACTAAATACTCAAATGTATTAACACCTTTTTTAGTGTCATCATTAGCTACTTATTTAATTTGTGTGATTGTTTGTGCCTCTCTGTCTGTCTGTCTTTGCCTGTCTTTGTCTGTGTGTATCTTCCTAATTAACACACTTTATCTGACTTTCCTAGGCTTCCGCAACCTGCACCTCGATGACCAGATGACATTGCTGCAGTGCTCCTGGCTCTTCCTCATGTCCTTCAGTCTTGGTTGGAGGTCGTACGAGCAGTGTAACGGTAGCATGCTCTGCTTTGCCCCTGATCTTGTCATCAACAAGTGCGTACCACAGACAGCTGTTGTATATTTATGCAGGCCTTTCTTCTGCACAACATTTTGTCAGCCAATTTTGTTTTGCATTTGCTCATTTCAGGATGTCAGTCTCACTTGGCTTACTTATCACACACTCGCCCATCTATCTGTGGTATATTGGAAATTTGGCAGTTTCTCTGTTAAGATGTTAAATCAGGTGAAAAGAAGCAGCCGGTTGAAGCACATGGCATGTGTATTGTAGGAAGCGCATGGCTCTCTGCACCCTCCCCAAGCCAACAGTGGAGTTGTCACAGACACTGTGGTACAGGGGAAGTGAATATTGCAAATTACGAGATGGTGAAAAACCCTAAAAATGTGTGTCAGATGATCCCTGACCTAACCAGTTGACTTTGCTCTACACACTGCTTTAAAGGACCAGTGTGAAGGATTTAGTGGCATCTAGTAGTGAAGTTGTGGTTTGCAACCAACTGAATACTGCTGGGCTTCTAAGTATGTAGAAGAAAGTGTTTAGAGTGGCTGCAAAAAACATGAATGGCCCTTAAGATAACGAAAAATCTAAATTATTTTCAGGTTATTAGCCACTAATGAAAAAACATACCTATCAATATTATATTCCATTTATACCAGATACTGTCAATAAATCCTACTATTACACACTGAACCCTTTAATGAATAAAGTTTTATGTGCCAGGAGGTTATTAGGCTATCTTAGCATAAAAAATGAAAGTAGAGGGATACAGCTAGGCTGGCTCTCGTCACAGTTGAAAAATATGCATACAAGCTAGTCATTTATTTTGATGAATATTTATAGGAAAGAGCCCCTCATATTTTGTCTACACACAACAAAGGACCATCAGGAAAGTACAGACAGAAGAGAGTACATTAATACTGAATGTTACAGTAAATAACCTTGTTTGTAAAGCACAATGTAATGTAATGTGGCTTTGTAATTAACATTCCATAGTCTAACCTGAGCCTCACTCTCAAGACACGGTATGTTAATTACAAAGCCACATTACTTATAGAATCACTGGCTGCAGAAATTGATCATAGTCTCTGTGCTTACCACAGTCTTTGTACTCTCTAGAGGGAACAGAATAAGGCAGAGGCTCATTTCCCAGTAGCTTGTCTGTTCCTACTGTTTATAGCTTTTGAAGGTCAGATTTTATATGCTTACGTAGGTAAAACAACATTGTCCCATTATTTTTTTTATATTAATCATTCAAACCTCCTCACACCTTAGTGGGCTTTTGCTGATTGTTTCCCACCACAGGACTCTTTTTTTTTTTTTTTAGCCATTACTGTTAATAAGAGACCTGAAGTCAAGCTCCCTCTCCTAGTTAACCTACGTTCTGCTATTTGTTGTATTTCTGAGAAGTCTACATTTTAAGATAAATGAGTATCTACTATGTGCTGAATAATTACATTTGATCACCCTGTCATTTTAACCAAGACAAAAGAATTATTTTGTTAGCATTCAACAACTACAACTTCCATGTAGGGGTATCAATTCAGTATTAAAATGACAAAGTAGGTGAGTTTCAGTACCAACTCCCAAAAGTTGTGTATTTACCTAAATTAAATTTTCCACAAAAGCCTAATTAAGAGACTGTGAATTAGCAAAAATATTATTTAAATTAAGAAATATTTGATTAAATAACAAATAAACAAGACCATGAGTCTGGGCAAGCATTGCAAACCTAATTTTAAATAGTTGGTGCTATATCTTGATTACTTGCTAAATACTTATTAATGGGTGCAAGAGTGCAACAAACACCAAGCTCTTTCTTAAAACCTGCAAACAGCTCATCCTCTTCATTGGAAATATGTAGAAATAGAGGCCTGAGCTGTGAAGAGTGGCTCCAAATGGACATGTAAACTCAGAGTGGGTAAAAATAGAAAGGTGAAGGAGTCATTGCCAGTAGCACTGCAGTTGGTCAGAATGAATATACAGCTCTAAATCCAAAGCTACATCCTCTATCTTGCGAATGTGCTATATTGATTTTAAAGGTAGAAAGTAATGTGGGCTGTGTGTAAGTGGAAGTGAGGTGTGAAAATCCATCAGGACTGGTTTCACAGTCCAGGTTTCCTCTTGCACAGTTGTAGCACTTCCCTGCTGGGACTATTCATTGAGAATTGAATAACAGGATGACCAGTGTAAGAGGGTAACGTGCTACTCTTGTACTATATGCTTTTAGCAGAAATTAAATAATATAACTCGTTACTAATAGGATTTTGGTAATATCATTACATTTGATATGTCAAGTTACGCGTTACCACTTAAAATTAAAAAAAAAGAGTTTATTGTTTTTATTCAAGAATTCATCCACACTGCGATCGCTGAGTAATATGTAATATATAACACTTTGAAAGTAACTTGCCCAACACTGAGGATGAGTGAAAGGGCTTTAAGTCTAATCTGTATGTCTCTCGTCCCTCTGTTTTCCTCTGCCCCCTCTCCATATACTTTTTCCATCTCTTTTCACTCATCTCTACTTTCTCTACTTTCTCCTTCCCCCTGTCTTTCCTCTCCCTCCTTCCAGAGAACGTATGAAGTTGCCCTTCATGACCGACCAGTGCGAGCAGATGCTGAAGATCTGTAATGAGTTTGTCCGACTGCAGGTGTCCTATGACGAGTACCTGTGCATGAAGGTCCTTTTACTGCTCAGTACAGGTAATGGCACTAATTTCTCAGTGTCTTGGATTTTGAACAGAACATAAAATGTTTCCATTGTATCAACTATGTAATATCGTCACATTCTTTTCATTGCAATGTGAGGTAGGTTCAATTTGTCCCAGCAGGGTAGTGTATTGAGTGGGGACTAACTGCGTTGAAAATTCAAATTTCTGCTCATAGTTCTGCAGTATTGATGAGAATGGATGATTGAACAAATAATTGAACTCATAGCTCATATGTCGTGTTGTGTGATGTGACTATTTTAGCTTTGCAAGCAATGCAGTAAAACAACACAAACTTGCAATTCTTAGTTGTGTCTTTAGAAAAGATAAGTACAGTTTAAAACACTTGTGGTTTCAGTTCTGGTTGATTTGGCAAGTGTGTCCCAGAATTCTGTCCAAAATCATATGCGCTCAAGGCATGATAAACATGACGAGCCATCTCACCAACTACAGTAAGAAACTATTGCCTGCAGCTCTTCATCTAACAGCTCACTGTGGCTGTTTTATCTGTCCCTTCAGGGATCATTCAAGTGTCAGTCAGTGCTAACCTCAGTTAGAGTGCTAACCTCAGTGGGCCTTTTCCTTTTGTTTACATTGCGATTACGAAACGCACCTTTAAACATTTCAAACTCTTGTCTTGTATTAAGTCAGGAGTCCATTCTTTGGTTTGAGTGTTCAGTTTTTTTAAGATCCCTTTATGCAATAAAATTGATCACACATAACAGCCAAAGACATCAATACTAAAATAAAACTGCATAGACCAGATTGCCACACAAATTCTCACTCTTTTGCTGTTACTGTCAACTTATGTAACATAAACCAATTCAGTTTTCTGGTGAAAGTGAAAATGTGAATAACAACACCTCATTCCATCACAGATTGAGGATCCATTTTCTTAAGGGGCCTTTCGTAACAGCCTTACAACAACCAGCTTTCCTGAAAACCTTTTCTCAGTGAAAGTACAGTCTGTTCATCTTCTGTAGTCACTGTCTCAGTTGAAAAGATCTTCAAGTGACCCACACATACTTAATTTCTGAAGACAGCTCTTTTTTTCTCTCCCAATTAACAGGAACAGTTGCAGCGTGGACTAACAAAAGATATGCTTCCTCAGTTTGTTTTAAACATTATAAAATACACAGTGAGGTCAGCTAAGAGTTAAATGAGTCCAACTTTCTGTTTCTTATCTCAGGGGATAAAATACAGCTTGCTGTTTGGCTTTCTATGTAATCACCACAGTCTCAAATTGCCTGAATAAGAGTACATAATGAAAAACCTTGTCCCCAATTTTGATAATTTCGGTTTTGCAGAGAAAATTGGATTTAGAGATTAATTATCGTATTCTAAATGTATTCTGAATGCACTTTGATTTGTTGGCAGGTATTGCTTGAATTACTTTAAAATGTACAAGTTGATAAAGGTCATTAGAGTAGAGACTCTATTTTAGGCAGAAGAAATAGGTAAGACTTTCAGCAGCCCTATGTCTCCTTTCTTTCTAAAGGGGTAAAACGATAGACGTTACAAAGCAGAGGACTACCAGACAAGTAGTAGTATGTAATTATCATCATTAAAATCTGCACAGCATGAACAAAGAATTATTAAATCAAACTTGGCCCTATTATGTAAATTTGTCTTTGATGAGGAAGAGAGCATTCTGCCTTCCGCCTCACTCTCAGTGAATGGCAGAGGGATAGGATGCACTTTAGAGGCGATTTGCTCGTTATGCAGAGGAAATTACATTTCCATACTGAGCCTCGGTTGCATTTTCATACCTGAGAGAGATTTCCATCTGTTACCCTCAGGGAAGGAAATACTGTCAGGACAACCGGTTTGAACTGTTCTAATCATTTGTCATGCATGTGAGTGAAAATTAAACTCTCCTATAATGGGACAATATGATTTCCTCTATAACATACTAGTTAAATTCAAAAGCAGACTTCACTTTCAGCAGAATTTACATCTGCAACACCCAAAGCTCAGTTAAATAATAACACATTCAGATATTTTAGACTAAATAATCCAGAGTAGAGAGCAGGAAAGGCAATCTGTTTTTACTCTTTTAAAAATGGTCTCTCGGCCAAACCTGAACATGCATAATGAAGAGGCCAGATAGCACTTGTACTGCAGTATCTCCCATTTATCTGATTATGTAAATTGGACAGTATTTCACCCCGATCTTGCCCTCTGTGGTTTTGCATAATCCCTAGGCCAGTTACTCTGGCTTTGCCTGGGCCCAATGCAAGGCACCAAACTGACAAGCAATAATGTGTTGACATGGTCGTTATGACAACAGCATTTTGATGTTTTTCAGCCATTTGTGGTTTTTTTAGCTGTCAAAATCCTCAGTGTGTGTTCTTTAAAATATGCTGTGCATGCAGAGTTTGTGATTTTTATGATGTGTGTGTCCAAACATTTACTGCTCCTCATCCAGGCCACACCAGTCAGGAAACACACTGCACAGTAGCTATTGATGTTACTTTTGGTTTTGCATATTTTACACTGCCCACGGCATTCTGGTTAGGAGTTGCGTGCATGCATCTGTGTATGCTTAGCCAGCATATCCTAAGGGTCCTTGTTGGGGTCCCACACAGTAAGTTTTAAATGAGTTTTAATGTCCTGTGCTGTTTGTTGCAGCAGAGAACAGGATAAAGAACAGACTTCTATACAATACACCGAAATACAGTCTTTATTTTTCTTTCGGTGCCCATGTTAACAGATTAGAGTTCTCACACTGCCACGTCTCACACTCATCCCCCAGCAAAAGAGGACAGTGAAAGGATCTATTGGTAGTCCTATCAACATATTTCAATACAGTTTAAACTTCCTTCTCAAAGTAAAAGCACTGTAGTAATCTTTTATTTAATACGACTTCACTTGTGAAAGTATTTCCGGAAGTGAGCCGTATGAAGGGCAGTATCTTTCCACTGTACGTGCTCTCTCGCTGTCTTGGGTAAACAAACTACATGTGCTTTCTGTTTTCCACTCTTAACATTTACGTTTAAACTATACGGTATTGTAAAATGAAATGACAAGAAAATTTTGATTTTTCATAGACATTATACAGGTAAAAGTGTACGTGCGCTGCTCAGACGGCCTATGTGAATGTTTTTCCAGTCTAAGGCGGTTGTTTGCATGGGTATAACCAACTGTTTACACCAGCAGCTGTACAGATGGCAGAACAGATACATATAAATGTGCGTAGTGCCAATGACACGGGTACACTGTAAACTATTCAGTACATGTACAATCACATTTTTTATTCCGCTGAAGACAAAAACATAAAGATTATATAAGACTACTGTGACTCCCTCCACTGTTATCTCCTCACCAACAGCAGAGGCAAGCTGTATTTATAGACATAATCAATAGTAATACCCACTTAATTAGGCTTTCTGTGGGGTAAGCGCTTATCAGGTTGTCTTCTTGGTCTAATTGGGATTTATTTCTTAACATGAAAACCTATGGGAGCTTCTGTGTTAACTGCCAGCCTAATAAAACATCAATGTCCTGATAGGATTTAAACTAGTTCATTTGATGTTACTGATGCTGTGAGAGGCTTCAGTTACAATTAAAACATTAAAATGAACTCTTCATCAACCATTGACAAATTTTTTCCTTTTATTTTTCATGTGATTTGAGTCATCTCGCCTTTACCAGCTAACATTTGCACTGACGTGTTTCTCTATGTCTGTGTTTGTGACAATGTTTGTGTGTGTGTGTAGTACCGAAAGATGGCCTGAAGAGCCAGGCGGTGTTTGACGAGATCAGGATGACATACATTAAGGAGCTGGGAAAAGCCATCGTCAAGAGAGAGGAGAACGCAAGTCAGAACTGGCAGCGCTTCTACCAGCTAACTAAGCTACTGGACTCCATGCAGGAGGTTAGAGAAACACACACACACACACACACACACACACACACACACACACACACACACACACACACACACACACACACACACACACACACACACACACACACACACACACACACACACACACACCACATGCCTTATGTTTTTCCTCTTTGTTATATATAGGATTTGCTACATATTATAGATTGGAAAGCAGACAGGTCTATAGCATTTTACAAGTGGACCACATCTTTTTTCATACTAGCCAGGGTTTTTCTTTCATATCTTTCTGTTCAAGTGCATCGATAACTTCCGCTGACCTTCCTACAACATGCAGGCTGAAGTGTTAAACCTTGAAGAATACACTCACAGGTCCCACTTAGTGCATTATATTTAGGTTGAATCTATTACAAGCACTCTACTTCTCGCTCCCTGTACAGCCTTTTATTGGCAGAAGACCTACTGGCGGGTAGGTTTTTAATATCTAAAAGACTCATCTAATGACTAATCTGTCTGTGTCTTCCAGATGGTCGAGAGTCTTCTCCAGATCTGTTTCTACACCTTTGTGAATAAAACCCTCAGTGTGGAATTCCCAGAGATGCTGGCGGAGATCATCACCAATCAGATACCAAAATTCAAAGACGGGAGCGTCAAGCCTCTGCTGTTTCATCAGAAATGACTGCCTTAAACTGTGAATGCAATGCCTTAATTTCTGCCCTGCCCGTGTACCTCTCCGGGGCCCCAAGCTTTCGCCGTAAGCCTTTGCTTGTCCTGCCTCCCCACATCACTCTGATTCGATTCCTTGTTTTTTTCTGGGCCCCCTCTAGGAATTCTGCCACTCCCATCCAGGCCTCAGCCATTCAGCCTAATCTGGGAGCACAATATCTGTGGCCTAACACCTCCTAATGGTCCCAGGTTTGGCAGTAGGACACCCTACCGCTGACCTGTAGCCCTTCCTGTTGGATAACCAAGAAGAATTTATCCTCCAGGGGAAATATGTTAGCTCTGAATGTCTCGTGGGAAGGATGCATCTTGGGCAATCCTTTTTTTTTCTTCAGCCCGCTCATCCCCCTCTCCGTCCATGGCCCCGTCCTCAGGTTTCTAATGCTGTGTCTTTATTGCAGCTGCCTGCCTCTTCTCTCTCCTGCCTGCCAGTGTTTTATTGCTGTTTTCACTGACAAGCCAACACCTAGAAACACCTTTTCCTCCCTCAACTTCACATTGAAAATACTGTCCAAATCACCGGATTAGCAGCCTATTGAAGCTCACCCCAAGTTCAAGCCTACTGTTCCTCTGCTCACCTTCCCAGCTTGTATCTGTTTACCCTTCCCAGCTCCGCTGCATAGAATGTAGTGAGTGTTCACTTGTTGTGGTTTCCCACAAGAACTGTTGGCGATGAAGGGGTAAACCAAAACACAGAAAAAATAAGAAACATACTCTGACATAAAATAATCTTTTTTTTCTTTTGGAACCCAGGACATTGAGGATGAACTGTTTTCATCTGTGAATCAGTTATCTTTTCTGAAATTATATGAATCAGATTTATATACCTGACCAATAGAAGAAAAAGAAAAAAGATACAGGAATATTCTTCATTTATTTTATGCGGTCATGCATTTCTGACCACACGCTTACATACAGGAACACACAAAGTACACATAGACACACATTCACTCAGCAAAATGTTTACACATGATGTATCTGAGAAGGGAAAAACAGTGCCTTTTAGCTTTTAAAGCTCTTCATAGCCATCCTCTCTAAGGCGTTTTTTTTTTTGCATAAGAATCTAACCTTGACATCTTTCCACATATGTTTTTCCATGCTGACAATTTCTGTTTTCTTTTTAAACCGCCATTTTGGTGTTTTTATGTGGGTAGCTCTCATTGTTCTGATCCCCAGAAGTGCACGTAAGGAAGATAGCCTATGGTACAGATTAGAAAGCAGTATAAAATATTAATTCCTGAAAAACATTTAATGTTATTATCTCTTTTCCCCCATAAAGTATATTTGATAAATATACTGCATCTCCCAATCAGTATCACATTGTTGAAAGTTACAGTACCCAGATTATATTAACAAATATAATGTTGAATACACATCCAAATGCTTTCTCTTTTAAAAATCTTGTGAGAAGCTGTTAAATGGACACCACTGGAATTTGAACAAAGCATATCTAATGTTTTGTAATATTTAGGGACTGACTGACTGACATAAACATTAGGGTTTAGCTCTTGGAAAAAATTGAGTTGTTAGTTTGAATGAAATCTTTTTTACGAACTGTTGCAGTTTATTCAGATAAAATCACACAAATGGGGTTTTTAGGACTAAATTGCCTTTGAAAAAAACAAAAAAAACCTGAGGTGTCAGTAAATGGCCATAATAATTCAAACAAACCTGGCTTGAAGGCTGTCCTTTCATTGCCAGCTGCATTCACACTGAGGTTCTGGTTTAGTAAATGGTTTCATACATTTTTTAAAAAAAATGTGGTTTCATGAAGCTACACTAGGAGCGACTTACCTGGCCAGACTGCCTGGTCCCACCTTAGAAATCAGTCAAATAGGAGTGGAAAAAATTCCTGATGTGTGTTGTAATCTAATGGGAGTATTAGGCTGGGTGGATCTTCTCGATAAGGTACCAGGAAAGAGATTCTCTACCTGAATTTCTAAGACATAATTTACTCTACCATGCTGTACTCCTGATTTATGTATTGACTTAAAATACCATTTTAGATAAAATATACCTTTTAATCAGCTTCATCTCAAAGCGTTTGCACAAACAGGAACTGGGGTTATTGTTGTTGAGCTCAACATGGCTGAAAAGGTTAATACATATATTTACATATATATTTGTTTTGTATTTGAGACGTAAAAGATAGATAGAGACACCCATAATTGATGGAAGCTCTGTTCTCAGCACAGGATTTCATCTCTAAAGTTGAAATATTTTTGGAAGAATAGTTGGAGCAGTTTGGTCCAAATAATTTGTGAATCAAAGCTCAGGCTATGACTGGCCACATCACTTGGATGTGTTCCACTTGTGCCAAATGTAATAGCAAGTTTTTATAGGTCTTTTTCCTGGAGATGTGAAAGAGTGATTATTCAGTTGGGATTCGACATTAGGTGGTTTTTGTAACTTTGCTTGACAGTGCTCATTTATGTGAAAGATCTTAAGTTCAGTGTCACACCTACACCAGCTTATACATACTGATTGTTATCATCCAAGTAAGTGTATGATGAATGACTTTTTCTTTTTTGGAGATGCACAAATTATTGTATTTTTGAAAATTGCTAATTAAAGCAGTAATATATACTGCTGTCAAACAGGTGGTGGTCAGCATTTGATGCATTTGTAATGTGAAACGATGTTTGTACCAGCTTATGTGATGGCCAAAACAAAATAGCATAGTTGTACATTGGCTTCTGCTGGAAGTGCAAAGACGATGCCCCCCCTTCATAGAAGACGTGGCTCTGTTTTCCTCAGTGTTTCTTGTAACTGCCAGGCCTCTCTGCCTAAATGTCGACTGTACAGATTTTCAGCTGTTTTCTCTGAATGGTACTTGTCCCTCGGCAGCGCCTAAGTCTGAATGCCAGGTAACAGAACAGGTAGCAGGTTGCCATAGAGACTGGTCATTTGTGTGTTACTTAAAGCTAACAGCACAGCAGGCTCTGGACGCATACAAGCTACTGTTCAATAAGAGCCATTATGTTTTTAATCAGCCATTCTGCCAAAGGATGGTTACTCTTACAGCAGGTTTCATGTACAGCGCAGGCTTTCAGCTTCACCCACTAACTCGGTCTTGTGCCCCTGTGCTGTTAAGAACATGGGTTTAATGCTGCTCACGTCGTTGTTGATTATTCTGGGGAAAATCTGACTAAACTGTCTATTTGTTTGGGTAACTTTGCATACAGTATTACAGTTGTTTCCGGGTGGTGGTGCTTCAGAAAACCAGCTTTAATGTGTAGATGTAACCATATCCCTGCTCACTTCTAAATGGCCATAGGTGTATATATAGCAGCGCCGACATATCCAGTGCAATGTAAACAGTGTCTATTATTACAAAATATTTTTACATGGACATTACCTCTATACTCCTATACATTTTTTCTCTTTTATCTTTCAACTACATGTTTGACTAAAGGCCTTGCGAAAGGGAGACAGAGAGCCATAGAAATAAGATTTCAAATCAGGAAATAGATTAACCCTTAACAAATATTAACGCTTTTGGAGATTGATGTATTGTAAGAAAAAAAAAAAAAAAGACAATATTTTCTGCGATTTTGAATACATCAGCTTGATCCTCTTTGATATGAATAATTTTACCCAATCCTTTTTGTACATTGAACAAGTCAAGAAAGTAAATATTTTTCTGTTTGTTGGTTTGTGTTTGATAAGGGTAGATGTGTTGAATACATTAGGAAATGTTAAACATGTTTGTCTTGTGAAGTAAATGTAAATTCTGCGAGTCAATGGGAAAGTCTACATGAATGCTCACTGTGTTTTAAAGTTATAAGGAAACGAGGGAGGGAGGGGTGGAAGGTGAGACGGACTGGAGGAGGTTTTTGCGTTATATAAGAGTGACCAAAGCAAAGGAGAAAAAAAAAAGATTTAACAGACAGAAGTATTCAAGCAGTTACATTTTAAGTAGCACTTATTATCCAACTTCTAGTACTTCTTATTTTATTTGAAAGGTATCTTTTGTAAAAAAAAAAAAAAGGCCCAGGCTTTGGATCTCATGTACATTGCTGTGAGGATTTACTGGTCACTTTAAAATAGAAAACGAAACAAAAAAAAAAAAAAGTTGAATCTCCGTGTGAAAGTAAATCTACCAGAGCCTGACAGAATTGCACTACCCTCCTACTTGTTGATAAAGTCTATTTTGTATAAAATACATGCAAATATTATCATTAAAGATTAAGGGCAGATCACGTTTCATTGGTACATATGGCTATGGCTTTCATTGAAGTCTGTTTTGTTCATATTTCAGTCATGTAAATGTAATCCAATGTAAAAACAAACAAAAAAAATATATAAAATGTTTGTCTAAAAAAAACAATAGTTTGTTTTACTTCTGTATTACACCTCTTCTGTAGTCAGTGTCGATATTTTCACCTATTTGATTAAATGTTGAATTAAGTTATGTGTTGTTCTTTGACATTGGATTTGGCATCGTGTTGGTAACAACTTGGATGATGTTTTTGTCATCACTGGTGAAGTGGAAATTCAGAAGAACTGATTTCTCTTTAGTTCACACATCTTACACAATAAAATTTCCTGTTTTTCAATGCTCAGCCCCAGTGGTTTTATTTTTTCTCTCAAATCTCATTGAAATTGATCTCGAAATGTTGGTAATCACATGTATGTAAGTGTGAAATGGATCATTCAAAGAAATTGTGGATCATGCTGGGAAATTAACTTTGTTGCCGAGATAGGATTTTAATGAGGCCATATTAAGCTTTTTGAGCGTTTCCCTGTGCTTAAGTGTGTTGTTTTGTGCATGTAAAAAGTCTGAGAAAAGTTATTAGTAAAAGTTATTCTGAATTAACAATTTTTAAATTCAGTGGGGTGGGATATGTGTGGCTCCTGCCCATGGCAGAGCCTGTTCTCAGCTGTCCTCTTACTCCACACACCCCTTTCTTTTTTGCATGAAAAATCTCAAAAATATGACATGTTAATTTAGAAAACCAAAGCCGTTTTATTCATTTATTTTTAAGTGAATGCAATACGCTTCTGTATTGCATTCATTCTGTAGTAACAAAACCCAAACTCCACGCCAAGGGAGGTTTTCTTTTCCCAAAAAAACCCACTGCTCTTGGAAGCTCAAGGATGCCTGCTTAGGCTTGTGGGAGCTGACAAATGGGAGCAGACTGAGCTACTCAGGAGGGAGGGCCGGTGAAAAGAGTACCAGCAGCAATTGCCAGTATGACCAAATGAATGTAATTTTGGAATATTTAACTGAAAATACAAGTATGGACCTGAAATTGAGCATAATGACCTTGCATAAAGTATGCCAGAGTTGGGAAGCAAAATGTTTGGCATAAAAAACTGGAAGCAGGGGGAACAGCTAGCCTAGCTTAGTTCAAGCTCAAAATTCCACTTACCAACACTTGTAAATTGTGCTAAATAACAGGGTACACACACACACACACACACACACACACACACACACACACACACACACACACACACACACACACACACACACACACACACACACACACACACACACACGTAAAAAACGACAATGCTGTGTGCTTTTACAGGGATTTACATGCTGGAACTATTTCTTGGCAAACAACAGCTGTGCAGAGTCTTGCTGTTGTCATGAGATGATACTGTACAAGTGCTAAGAAAAGAATTAAATGCCAGAGTGATGAAAAATGCAGCTCTTCTGGGTCCAGTGCTTTCTTAAGACTTTGATTTCATCTCAGCTGCAAGTTTGCAGTTGCAGCTTTTGGCTCAACTGGATCCAAAATTTGTAGTAGTTTAAAATCCTTGTTTAGAGCAACAGGTTTCATTTGTGTGTCAAAAGTTGAACCAGACTGCACAAATTATTGTATATTTTATGGTTACTGCACTCACATTAAAATACAAAGGAAGTACTGAAACATGTGTGAATACAGCCACAGTATAACTTTTCAGGCCAAGCACTAAGTCCCAAATAAAAATCAAAGACTCCAGCTGCAGCTGTTGAACGTTTATCTTTAATTGTGCACAATCAATTCACCAAAACATCTGAAAGAATATTTAAGGCTGTAGATAGACTTAAATGATACAAAAAATCTGAGCAACAAAGATGGAATTAAGGAATTAAGTTAGTATGCTAAAAATACAAAATATAAAATTTCATACTTAAAAAAATTATACCTTATCAAATGCTGCGTATTTATTTACAATGTCGATAAAACACCTCAAAATGAATACAGTTCAGGATTGTGTCTTTAAGAAACTCTCATAAATAAGAAGTTCAGGTATGAACAAAGTAGTCTCATTTCACATTTAAGTTTTTTTTTTTGTTACTCTCCCATTTGACTTTAAAATGCTAAAATGTTCTTTTAATATTCTGTCCTAAAATAAAAAGTTCAACAAAAAACTTTACAGAAAAGTCACAGACGTTCACAAAGTGGTTCAAGCTAAAAGTTCAGCTTTGACTCATGAAATGAGGATATCTATTGGATCCCCAAAGCAGACCAGCTTTCATATACATATCTGAACAATTCTGAAAAATATTTTCTCTTTCCTTCAAATGTCTGAGCTTCTCCGAAAAACCACATCTGCGTTTCTTTTACTTGTGAATAACAGCCTTGGCTGTAAACTCTGAATCCAAATGGAAATGTGCATCCCCTTTAGATAATTACATTATTAGCATTGTCTCTGTAATTCTACATAAAAACAGAAAAAAAAAACCCTTGTGATGGGTCATGACATACAGGACTCAGATGACTGTGTCTTATTTTGACTTTGAAATGACTTCAATTGTTTGCTCAATCCATGCTGTTGAAGATTAAAGCATCTACAGTAAAGCAACAGATTGATTGTGCATGATGGTTAAAACTAGGAGAAAAAGATAAGAGGCTTAAAATAAATACATATGATCAATCAAAACTTGATGCTTTTGAACTCCGGCACTCTAATGTGAACACTCCAGTTGATGAGTTTTCCCAGAATGGTTTCAAATAGTGCAAACATGACTCGACACTATATACGATACTGGGTCCAATTATTTCCAACAATCAAAAAAATATCTAAGCTGGAGAAGCAGGGCTAGGCCTCACAGCTGGGCTTGTTTTAACCAGCAGGAATCAGATGTTACTCCTACACTGCTTTGTAAACCGCTGATCTGCTTGTGGAGCTTGTTTGAAATTTTTCACATTTTTTGTGAGGGCTCTGCAGGGAGAGGTATTATAAATAAGAATAAACCCAAAGCTGACCTTTCGGCGAACTGTTTTCAAGGCGACCTCATCCAGTGCTGATCTGCCCTGGGGCTCTTGTTGCTGAACTGGCGCTCTGAAACATTAGCCAGGTTGAGTCTTGTCCTTGGGAATTACCGGACCACCACAGCGAGTGCTCACAAACACATTTACAGCTGTACAACAAAACCCAATCATTTAAATCGGCTTTAAAAGCTCCAATGCGATTAGCAATCATTCAAACAGCACACGTGAAGAGGTGAACTAGCAAGTCCAAAGTTAAAAGCCACTTGCTTTGTTTTATGTTCCCTGTCATCACCTCCTTGATCTCCGCAGGAAAATCTATTTCTGGCTGATAAAAAGAGGAGACGCTGAAGCAGTGGCAGTGCAGTTCAAATTCATAAAGCAAGGGCTGAAAAATCACAAGCCTCCCAACTCGCAAATGATTTTCTCTCTCTCTCTCTCTCTCTCTCTCTCTCTCTCTCTCTCTCTCTCTCTCTCTCTCTCTCTCTCTCTCTCTCTCTCTCTCTCTCTCTCTCTCTCTCTCTCTCTCTCTCTCTCTCTCTCACACACACACACACACACACACACACACCAGGTTCATTACCACATCATCTTCACCAGGACTTGGGAAGTCATCCCCACTAATCCGAACAGCCAGAACCACAGTGGGGCTTTTTTTCCAGTGCAATTCATAGGTCCCCACCCCCCCCACCCCACCCCGTTCACGCAGCTCTGTTCCTACGTCATATCCATATAGTTCTGCTTGGTCCAGTTTCAATTCCCAGTCTAGTCAAGACAAAAGCGGCATCATCAACAGTGATCCAGTTCACTATAGCATATGATCTAATAGAGTTTGTTCAGTCTTGTGCAGTCAAATCTAGACCTCTTAACAGTCCAGTTTTGGTAATCTCCAGCCCAGTATCATTCAGTTCAAGTTCTTCTCAGCCCTGGACTATAAAAACTCCACATAGTTTTCTGGTATTAGTCCTGTTCGGCCATCCAGAGTGCCTTCCAGCCAACCGGGCTCCCTGGAGGCATGAACTGGAGAGAGAGAAAGAAACATTGATTTTGTTTAAACATCTCAAGATGATGGGGAAAATATCCATAAATATGTGTCACTTAAACATTTGGACAAACACATGTACACAAGCACATGTGCGAGTGAGAGAGAGAAAGAGTGGAGGAAAATGGGGTAAGACACACGCAAATAACTGCAAATAGGCCAGTTAACAATTTTGCATGCTCCTCATGAGCAGGGATCTCTGGCAGCAACATCACACACCTATAGCTGCTGATAAGTGAGCATGACATGTGCATTTCCATTTTTGTGTATTGTTTCATAGTCACAATATTGACTGTAACAGCCCCCCCAAAAAAGTTCGTGTGGCAGGAGGATGGCATGTAAACATATGGTCTCTTGACTAGTACTGCGGTGCTTGACATGTATGAACTACAATAATACAGCAAAGTAACTGAACTAATTGCAAGTTGCTGTGGAGTTGTAATGTTTTGGTGAAAGATCCACTAAACAAGAAGACCTCTGGCAAGACATGGCTAAACCACAGGAAATTAAAACGAAAATGACTGCAGAAAATAAATTGTGTTGACCACATTTTGTCCTCAAAGGGAATCTAACACAAAAACGCTGCAGACCATGCTACCACAGAGTTACGTCAAAGACAGAAACCAAATGTGAACTCAGCATGAAACAGTGCACAAAGGTTTTATCCGTCTTTGATCTTCATGGATCTGCCTGATAAACAAACATAAGAAGAAGAAAAAAAAAAACTATTCTACTATTCTGAATTTATTTTGTGCAACAATGTATGAATCAAAACTGTGGCAATATTCTGTAAACATGGAAGATTAACACAATCATACATCGTATTGGAACAGTATTCTTATGAACGCTAAAAAAGGACATAAGGAGGCTGCTGTATGAGCTCTGTGGGGACAGTTGGGATGCTCCGTCCTTGGCTAGTCATGAGCAGACTGGGGTGTTGGGATACCATGGTAGGGATTACATGTCCCGAAGGTCACATTTTGACCAAAAGGGCTCCGGTGACACTGCTCTGCATTACATAACCTGCAATAGTCTTAACGCAGCTAACTCTATTTAGGGTCTGGGGGTTTGAGAGACCACGTGTCAACTGGCATGACCAAAAAAGTGAATCACTGCCGATCCTGTTTGGCTTGCCAATGAGTGAAACGGTGTAAGTACTGAATAAGTAATTTTATTATCCTTGAATTTGTGCAAATTTGGTCTTTATTAGGAGAGTTGAGCCAAAGAAAACCGGGGAGATAAATGTGATTTACAGTATTGGGAGCTTGAGGTTGAAAAGGTTGAAAATAGACTTGTGAGGACCCTGAGACAATCTACATTGAGATTCCTATAAAGAGGGGGTTGGACTGGAAAGATAAAAAGAAAGAATAAAGAAAGAAAACCAATGAAAAACAGAAATAATATTCTCAATACCAGTACTTTCCTGCGTCATCCTTTATCTGCAAGTTACTTTCACATATTTATACTTGTTTTTTTCCCATATTAAAGCAAATGACTCCTGAGATCTGAAAGATATTAAGTTCTTGGCTGCATGCAAAAGCAATGCGTTGCACTCGACTGCATCTGTTACACTCTTGTCTGCTTGCCAGCTTCTTATATTCTACGGTGAAGTGTGAAATGAGAGCAAATGCACATCGAAGCTTATTTCAAAGCCAGGTGCTGGATAAAAATATTCTTGACAAATGGAATAATATATCACACCCTATGGATTCAGGCTCCCAGTAAATATGCTGCAAGGAGTCAACTAAAAAGCTTATTCAAACAACTCCAGTGCACCTTCCCTTTTCCTCCAACATGACCACCAAACTACTTAAAGAAAAACTTTGGGGGAAATAACAGGGAGCCATTTAATTTTATTATAAAAATAGTGGTGTGAGGAAATGGTGTTAAAAGCCTTCTAGTCATGATTTTTTGGGCAAAATCCCTTGACTACTTGGATAAATTAAAACATATTTCCTACCTCGGGGATGAAATCCAACTCCAACGCTAAATTAAGTCCAGCAAACTCCCAAGGCTGACTTTTTCTTTTGACAGTAATTGTTTGTTTCTATACAAACATCAACCCACATTCTTTCCTTTTTCTGCTGGCAAGTTCAGGGCCTGACTCACCGTTCTCAAAGATGGTCCCAGCAATGAAGGACAGCTCTGAGTCATGCTCTGCCTTGCAGGCATACAGTGCTCGAGCCTTCCTTCCCACAATACTGGAGACAACAAGAGAGTGAGAGTCAGAAAGTAGGTTCAGGACTGATTCAGGGAAAAACAGATAATGGTAACAATGCTTCATTTAGACACCTCAAACTAGACTTAAAGTAACACAAACCATTACTTTATACGAAGTGTTTTATAAGTACCAAGCGGCTTTATTCACAGTGTTTTCTAGAAGGAGTCAAACTTGCATTGTTTTAGATTTTAAGTTCTAATGTTTGCCTTTTGGGCGGCTGGTTAGCTCAGTTGGTAGAGCTGGATTCTGGACTGAGGCTGAGTCATGCTGCAGCGGCCCAGGGTTTGAATCCGACCTGCGGCCCTTTGCTGCGTGTCATCCCCACTCTCTCTTCCCCCCTTTCCTGTCTATCTTCGGCTGTCCCTATCAAATAAAGGCAATAAAAAGGCCAAAAAAAAAAATAAAACTAACTAATGTTTGCCATTTTGTTGGACACGCGCCAGATATTTCAAATTTAAAACAACAGTTTTTATTTCTTATATCCCTGTAGTTTAAACAGAATCAGGGTCTGATGCAGAATCTGCTTACTGCCATGCAGAGGGTAGTGGTTGAAGGAAAGGCTGGGGTTTTGAGGGTGCCAAACACTGGCAAGTAAGACCAGCTGCAGCAGGACCAGGACAAAACCTACACTATATAGGGGCATTTTTATTCCAATTATTCCAATTTAAATGACTGCTACCTGACCTGTAAAAATAGTTGACAGCGAGAATTGATCCAAAATGCAATAATGATCCCCTGGGAAGCAATTTAGTATTCAAATCTTCTGCATTCATTGGAAAGGTCAGAGGTCATGGTATATGATGTCTCCTTGCACTCACAGAGTTGCGTTACAGAGCTTTTTCTTGAATTACTTTACTGTTCTTCATGAATTCAAATTAAACTGGCATCACACAAGACATCTGATATGATACATTTTGAAGAGCTACTTAAACAAATAACAGCTTATTAGCAAATTGCTGAGGGCAATCAAATAATTCACTGAATAGCACTTGAGTGCTTGCATTAAATATCCAGCTACTCCAACACCTCCAGAAGTATGTAAGACAAATATGCTATTCTTTTTCTTTCCTCTCTTCTCTCTTTACTGTTTAACCTGCACATAGTCACATAGCTGAGGTGACTGAGAAAGAGTTGTGGACCAACCTGACAGGGGATGAGTCACTGGAGGCAGAGGACGTGGGTTGAGGACTTGATGGGGCTGAGAACATTGGCCAGGAGGGAGAACGTGGTGAGGTGGGGCTGGGAGACGTTGCACTGATGGAAACACACACGTAAAATGTGCAATTTATAGCACTGGAAGTGTTATACAGATTAAAATATATTTGCAATGTACATATGCACACAGTTCTGGACATTATCAGCTACGGCCAGTGTGACATTGTTAAATTAAAGACATGTTTACAGTACCTGGTTGGTATGCTGCTGCGACTCTTTGGGTTCAACCTAGAAACACACAATGAAATAAAAACCAAGATGATGTAATCAGTGAGCCATTTGGTTAAGTACTGAAATGTTTCTGGACTTGTGAAAACAAAGGAAAGCTATTTTAACTAACCTGATATTAATTTAGACAGTATCCCTCAAGAGAGATCATGTTACTGAGGGGTTTTCCTTTCTCACTGAGGTCTATTAGCTTAGCTTAGCTTAGCTTTCCAGCACCCAGGAACAAATGACAAGTATGCAGATTAGATCTCCCAGCTGGTTTGGCAAAAAAAAATCATTTAGCTGCAAGGAGAAACTGACTCCTTAATAGGTCTCAATGGGTGCTGTGAGTCACTTAATGTGCTCCAGCACTGACTAAAATAACAACCTCAGATAAAGGCTATCGTGAAGGCCATGATGAATAAATCGGTACAGTCTTTTTAACTTGCAAAGTCAGATTGAAAGATTTATCTGTCTTCACTGTGGATTCACTTGGCCCCATCATGAATCCGGTACCTGGTCGATAAAATAACAAATCGACGGGACTGACATGGTTACAGACAAAATTAATATTTAGATTTAGATTTCATCTATTGACTGTAATTGTACATAGTTGTAGTGTGACCCTTCCAAGCTGTGTCTATCCACAGTTATCTAATCTAATTTAAAATGGTCAGTCGACTAAAATATAATTCATTCTTCTGTCTAACCAAGCTGTGTGCCTTCAGCAATCCATTTGTCATTCTATCCATCTAATCTCATGCTGCAAGATGCGCACACACACACACACACACACACACACGCACACGCACACACACACACACCAACCATGTTGCCTATTCAATTCTCAGTTTCTCTCTCAGAAATGACACGCGGGCTGATATCCATCACAGGCTGAATGATGGTTGAGAATGAGAGTAGGTGAAAGACAGACAGAAAGGCATGTTGGAGATTGGAAACAGTGAGGCGTAATAAACGGAAAAAGCAAAAGTAAGTCCAGGTTTTGCAACAAGCTTTGAGATAATTTTTTATTTTAAGTGATTAACATATACGTAGATAATTACGCAGCCATCGCAGACAAATCTGTCATACACAAGGCCAGCAGAGTTATGAGGAAACAGAACGCCCACCACTTTGCAATTTCAAGCAGCAGCATTGACAAAACTCAGCCTATGTTTCAGGCTCAAAGAGGAGTTTTTCTGCTGTCTCTGCTTCTCCATTTCTTTATTGCACGGACCAATATGAACTGAAATAATAGTGAATAGGCCTTAAAATGCTGGATTATACGAGAATGTTTTAGCTTAATGTTCAGTATTCAGTATAACGTTCATCTATAGATGCAGCCACTTGCCTGATATTAATAACCTTTAATGGGATACACAGATAACCTTATATAAGAAATCTCATCTGTAGGCCTTCCTGTTCATTTACTCAAGACCAAAGACAATATGTCTTGATTGTCTTAAGGCTTCAAAACTGCTTCTTGAGACATTTTCTCCTGATTTGTTCACCAGGGGGGTGTAAAATGTGAAACCAGCAGGGTTCCTACCTTTGCACAAATTTAACTGGTTAGGCCATGTTTAAAATCTTGGCAATGCATCAAGAAGCATATCACATTGACCTCAGTAAAGGAGATGCACATTCCTACTGTGTATGCATATGATTAGCAAAGGCCAGTGTCAGAAGTTCACTCTGTTTTTTAACAGCACATACAGTAGGTGAATCACGGCATTAGTGCTTTTTTTTCTCTTTTCTACCACTCTGCACATAACATCAACTCACTCAGAGCAGGGCCCTTTTTTTGATGACGTGAAATGTGGTTGCCATAGTGACACTGCTTTATGCTAAGGCAAGATTTGGTATAATCATTGTCTGTCTCTCTGTAGGAACAAACATATGATCCACTTCAATATCCACCACAGTCATTCAATAACATAAAGACGAGAAGTGATAAATGTATCTTCTGCTTGATGTAAGAAGTACGTCTGCTGATGCCAACAATGCACTCCAGCTGACTGAATATTGGCTTTAACTCTGCAGTGGAATCGCATGTTGCCAAGTGACAAATATAGACAGAGCGGTGGATTTGAGGTGGAAAGTTCATTCTTAACCTTGGAAACAAGTTCACCACTCATGGTTGCTGTTATGGAAGTAAAATTCTTTCGATTCAGTGATACTACAACTAGCAAAACGTTGTGGATGTGTTCCTTATTTATTTATTAAACTGTACGTTTGACAGTTTGTCTCGACAATCCACCTTCTCTCCTAATTTGTCACTCACTGCTCTCTCTCATCTGCTTCCTGTTTCAATTGTTTGGCATCCTATCTAGCCTATTCCAAGCCATTCTCCTTCCGTACCTCCCTCCCTTCAGCAGAGCTACTGTAAGAGATGAGGAGAAGAAGAGAGAAGACTTCACATTTGCCAGCAAACTGCACGAAAAATTATGAATATTACAGGTTACAAAGTAAAGCAAACTGTTTCAGATGAATGTACTCTCCCCGTCAGACTCACAGCACATTTGACAGCTGGTTTGATTAAACCGATGTCTTGTCTCTCCCTCCTCTACCTTACAGGGTGTCATTTCAAGACATGAAATGTGTGCCTACAGTATAATGACTGCATGTATCGAACGATAGAGCATTAATGAACATTTTGATTACTCTAATCTGCTTACATAAATAATTATAAAAGTTGTTTTTGTTTTAAAAGCTGCAATTCTTATCCTCAACTTGGTCAGAGTGACGAATCTCCCGTTGATCACATCTGTTTTTACAGTGAGAAATGCCATGTCTTTTTAAAGGTGACAAATACTGTTAAGGCTTTCAACCTTGGAAACATCTCTTAAGTTGGAATGTATCGTCTTCTGCTTAAAGGCCGTCCACAAAATAAACCAGCATGACCTGTAAATATCAGGTTTGGACCACAGAATAAACATGAGGGTGCAAAAAGCTCCCAGAAGGTGTAAATGAGCAACATTAGTTTTTGCAATGAGGACAAGATGCTGTGACTTAAAGCAATACAAAGAAAGGACAAGTTTGTTTGATTAACAAAATTTGTTGCTTCTTCTTTTCTCAGTGTGCATACACAAATGATGAAGTGACTATATGATGCCTTGATGCCATTACAAAGCACTGAAACATCTCATCTTTTTATGTACTGTACAAGCGAACACACAAATAAAATTATTTATTTATTTACCTCAACAGCCAATTGGTTTGCCATTTTACTCCTTCTCCCATGTAGTGCAAACTCAAACCGTCCTCAATGTTTACCTGTTGTCTTGATAATTTCATGTCACACTCACCACTCTGCTGCTCAGTTTCCCTTCTCTAACAGAAATACATTCTATTTTCAATTTTTTTTAATTCACCAATTAATTCAAGTGCTTTCACTTTTCCAGAAGATTTTTCACATTAAAAGTCTTTCAGCCTTCCCATTATTGGTAAGCTTTTAAGGTGGAAACTCACAGTATAACACAGCTCTGTTGTACTGATTCAACTAGTGCTGTGGAAACGTGCAATATGCTCAATTTACATTGTGACAGGCTTATTTTAGTTTTACACTTATTCAGTTGTAATAATAAGGCTTACTCACTTATTTATTTTATTTTATCTGCTTATGGATTATGACTCTGCAGCTTGTTGTTGGTCAACATTACAGAAACGTATAACTGATAATATATCTCTATTTACAGTGGAGGATACCTGGGGAAAATAAAAAAAATATCCAGTGTTATCAGGGTTGCAGCTTTAAAACTGATTTCAAAACTTAAGTTAAGTCCCACATGAGCGACTGCCAGTGCTCACTGTAAAATCTGAAGATCTAGCATGAGAGAGAGATGGATTCTGTATGCTAAAGGCCAAAAAAAGAGGAAAGAATAATGGGGTAAAGGCAGCAGAACCAGACACATGTATCCTGGTGACTAGAGCTGCATGTGTGTGAGTGTGTGTGTGTGCGTAAATGGGTATTATGCTGTGGGGAGGAAATATTTCAATGACAGGTTTCCTAGAAAATGGTCTAGTCACAATGGAGATTTTGTTCAGTTTCTCACCCAATTGTGTGTGTTTTTTCAGTGGGTGTAATTCAATTTTACAGCTCTCTTTATCTCTAATCTCTCTTCATCCAGTGCTTGCACTTAACTTCTCTTTTGCTTTTTGTTGCTTTTCTCTCAAATGCCAAACAGACAGGGGTAATAGATAAAAAAATCACCGACTTTCCCCAGGGGACACATGAAGACAGAAAGAGACGTTTTGCCATTTATACTTTCACCTTAGGCAGGTTCAAGGTGAAATATGTAGGATCAGCCGCTGTATTAATCACGTTGTCTATAGTGTGTAACAGACACAGATGTCAGACATTGAGCTTCTACTCACTGGTCCCACATTCATATACTAGCCTCAATTGCCAATTTGACTTTGTTTTTCGATTTTTCTTTTTTAATCCTATTTTCTTGCAATAATAGTGTCATTGGGATGTGATTTGCTAGTAGGAGAGCTTAAACGATATATTTTAAAGAGGTGTGAAGAGACCTCCGGGTATTTCCCACCTGAAAACTAACTATCAAAAAAGCAAAAAAAACCCTGGTCAAGCTGCCAAAACTGAAAATAACTGTCTCAGGGAAATGCATGGCTTTTGAAGGCCTCAGTTGTTAACCTCCGACCTTTGTACCTCTCTCTTGTCTGTGATGAGGACGCAGGCTGGCTTTTCTTGGAAATTCAGGATGTCCGCCTCTGGGAGATTAAGAAAACATGGTCTGGGCTGGGATCCGAGTCAATCCCCAGACAGACTGTTGACTGCTGATTGTAAAAAAATAAATTATCCTTTTATGCTGTGAAAGGGCTTTAATAAATCAGCTGTTGGGCTGTTGGAGAAGTCTACATGTTCAAACTATTGATCTTTTTAAAAAATTGATGTTGTTGCAGGGATTTAAAAGGTACTCCAGCCATTTAGTATTTACACCTCCATTACACTACACTGGGGGACTTGCATGATACATAATTAAAAGAGTAAAGTCAAAATAGAAGCAACATAGGCCAAGATATCCTGACTTTTATTTCCTAATATAAGTGAAGAAACATTCATAACATCTACTTGTTAAACCCTCCCCTTCCTGGTAAGACCCATGTGTTTCAAATTTCACACCACCCAGTTTGTAGTCCAAATCCGTAGAAGAAGAATTTGTAGTTTCTAAATGCAAGCTGAGATAATCTTGATGACATCACTATGACATCATCAGCGTTATCTTTTCAAAACTTTTGGAAAGCTCCCTCTAGAGCCACAACATTATACAACATTTTCTCTGGCTGTGTAGTACTCCTAATCTGTAACTCTTAATCCTCATGTGCAAAATCAGTGAAGTTCCAGTTTAACTGGTCAAACTTTACATGGATAGATAAATACTGGTACTCATTTTTACTATGAAGAGGCTGCTGGTGTAGACTAGAAACTAGAAAAAAAAAGAGTAAAAAGTAGTTTCCATTGTATTCAAAGTTTGGGTTACATTTATGTGTGGTTGAACTTAAAATATACAAACAAGTTTTTGTTGAACACCTTTTTGTTTAGTGTAACTATCCCTGTAAAGGTAAATTAAAAATTACTGCTTTAGCTTTTCAGTATAGTTAATGTATATGTGTTCACTTTTCATATTGGTGTAGTATAGATTCTTTGTTGCTATCAGAATATTGACGAATCTTTGAATCTTTGACCAGCGGGTTTAGATCACCACCTGACCTTTGATCGGACAGATCTTCCAGTAGCCAAGTTTTCTTTCTTATCCCCATAACCATTTTGTTAATTTTTTTTGGGCTACATTTAAAGGGTAAATTAGAGGAAGTTGTGTAATGTGCAGCAATTCAAAGAGCCACATAATACCTAATTCAATAAAATGATCCTGTCCTCTATTCGTATTCATCCTTTAGTTTCAGGTTTCAAGGACAACACACCCACTGTGCACAAAATATGTGTTGCTGATTCTCTTCTAATTCTCTAATTTTGTGTCCTAACAGGCAAAATCTATAATCTCATGCTTCCACTAGGTTTGCCATCTTTGTCCTTGTCAAGAACATTTTAGTATCCTGGCAACACATTTTTTTCCAAGGCCTTTTTGAGTATAATGTATGTTATGTTTGTTTTTCAAAAAAATACTTATCATCTGCTATTTTGATGCAAATGTAAACCTTTGTATCACAGAATAATCATTGTGCCATCCTTAATGACAGTGTTAGTAAGCTAAGAATGTATAGCAAAAAATATTATTTCTATGACAGAGCGGTGTAGGTATTACATCAACCAATACTGGAGCTAATACTGTACTTCCAAAGGGGAATCTGTCTCAGGTGTGTTTCTTTGCCTTCAAGTTGGATGGATTTTATTACCCTGGTTTCATGTCTCTTTCAGTTGCCAAGATAAGCTAGACATATCTTTGTACAGAACGCACAGAGATCAAAATGATTATTGTGGGTTTTGCATCATCTTATCTGACTCTCAGTAAGACGGCTCACAAATTTCTCACAACGTGAGACTGTTGCTTTAAAACAACCTGGAACAAGCTTGAGAATCTCACCATGTCTATCTTGGCCCTGGCAGCTCCTTTGAGATTCACATTTCACTGACTACTACAGCCAGAAAGCTTGGTTGTTGAGTAGCAGAAAATCTCTCAACAGCTCGATCTTTAACTCTAAAATAATCTGGTGTATGCCTGTTCACACTGAGCTCTTTTGTCATGCATGAAAATAAAATATAGCCATTACCCAAGTGCAAAGAGCGTAAAGCTTTTTTTATCTTAGACACTGCAAGATGCTAACGACTAAATTTGCTAGGGCAGAGTTAATAAAGGGAAATCTATTTAACCTTGATCACGCATACATACAATACATGAAAACGGTTTATTTATAAAACACTTGACATCATTATATTCCATATAAGCATCAGTTTAAGATGAGAAAATAGATAGATAGATATACTTTATTGATCCCAAGCTGGGAAATTGCAGTGACGGGAGCTGCTGCTACAAGCTGCCGCCTGAGGCAGCGCCAAAAGGCATCAAATAAGGATAGAAACTAATTAACATATCATGCACCTTCTTGCCCTCGACTGTTCACCTCAGTCATTAAATGTTTCTCTAATGTGACTCGTAATGGAAAGACTATCTGAAGATGCTTTTCTCTCTCTCTTTTGCTCTCCATGAGACATCAAGAGTCTATGAGACCAATATCTCTTCCAGGCCCTTGCTCTCTCAGTTTTATTTATTTTCTAATTTTCTAATACCCAAACAATCAGTTGTGGATGACAAATCTCTTCTAACTTAACATAACACCCAGAGGTGAACCATGGCCTTCAACAATGCCCAAAAAATAGTATCATAAAAAAAAAAGACTTCTCTGTCCAACTAATTAGCTGAATTACATTTATACCTGACATTTAAAGTGTGTTCTTTTTCTCCATCAAGTGCAAACTTTGCACTTTGTGAAGCACACATCATTTTGAAAGGATCATAACTTTTTAACGTATGGGACTTTTTGGTAACATTTAGAGGAAGAAGCTGCTTGTCAAAGGGCTTATATAAACAATTCCTTACTTTTCAGATTTAGGATTTATTTAGACATTTATTTTTAAATATATATATTTTTCATTTCAATATATAAGGCTAGTACGTAGCAGGTTTGCCCTGAGCTGCAGTGGGATCGGAAGGCAAACAGAGAGCGGTGTGAGAAGGTTTTTAGGTGCCAGAAGTGACCACATTAAATTGCTCTGCCTCTATCCTGATTGGATTTGCCTGAAAACCTGAGGGCACACTCTGCTGTATTGTCTATTTTACTCTAAATGGGACCACAGTTTACAAAATCAACATCATGCTGTATGTGACCAAGTGAGATCATAAACTCATAAGGAAAATGTTTACTGAGGTAAAAAAAATCAATGGAGAAGTAGGGTCATTTTCTCATAAGCTTACATACAATCTCTCTTCTTTTTGCAACCAGTGGAGTTCCCCCCCTGCTGGCCATTAGAAAGAATGCAGGTTCAAGGCACTTCCGCACTGGCTCTCAGACCCAGAAGCCCTATCCTCTTATTAGACTGTATATGATGAATACAGTGTGTGTGTGTGTGTGTGTGTGTGTGTGTGTGTGTGTGTGTGTGTGTGTGTCCGCGTGCTTAGACTAATGTTGCTGCAAATTCCATATGCAGGTGTGTGAGTTTACACCTGTTAATAACCTCAGCATTGGCGTGTCCAGTGTTTACATGAAGATATACAGTACTTCTCACAGGGACAAAGTCTTGTTCAGACCTGTAAAAATATTTTTGTTTAAGTTAAGTCTTTACATGTTTTCAGTTGTAAAAACTCCTGGTCAGACACTCAGACAGTGGGCACACTGTGTAAGATAAATCCAAGATATACATGCTGGGTACTTTTTATAGTTTGATTGTATTCAAAACTTATTTGACTAGATTATGCGACTGCTACATGATACGTTTATGTGTGCATGCGTATGGGATTTTGTGTACTTTTTTTTTTTTTTTCAAATTTTCCTCACAAAAGACACAATCTTCTACTGTTGGTGCAGTTGGAGTTCAGTTCATCTTTTGCAAATGTTTCCCAGATGCCTATGGGATTTAAACTGACAACCCGCCAATCACAAGAATACTTTCCTGAGCTCTTAGCTGCCACATGTGTATGTGTGTGTGTGTGTGTGTGTGTGTGTGTGTATGTGTGTGTGTGTGTGTGTGTGTGTGTGTGTGTGTGTGTGTGTTCATGCATTCCTGTGTCTGTAATTTTCTGGGTGCATGAAAAACATGGGAGTGTACATTCTTGGATCCATGTGTATGTGAGTGAATTTGAATGTAATATTTGTTATATGCGCATGTCTCGTTGTACATATAAATGTATTCATTTTTGCTTTTCTTCACATTTCTCTCAAATTATTATCTGTGTTCTCTTTTTCTTCTTTACATTTGCATCTGTCTTCTATAAGTAAGTCATCACTCATTGTTTATGTTAGAATTTATTTGAAACGTACCCAGAATTTTTACTAGATGCTAATCATTTTAAAAAGATTTATCTTGGATTTTATGTCCCTGAACATCAAAAATGTTTTTGAGTTTCCTCCAACTGTACAATTAGACTTGCCACTTCAGCTTACAATAAGAATAGCTCAGAAAATGTTTCTGTTAATAGAAAATGAAGAGAAAATGTTTCTGTTAATAGAAAATGAAGAGAAAATGAAATTTAATAAATTGTAAATCATAACAATCTATTTTTTTTTTAATATTTGACCTATTTTTTAATTGTTCAAAATAAACACTGTTAAATCATTATTATTATTATTATTAAGTCAGTGAAATTTTAAAAACCAGTGAAGCCACAGAAGAGGACCAGTTCCCTCTGGATAAAAACTGCTCATTTTAAGGAAACAAAAACACAACGATTCTTATTTTCACGTGATTTTACACTAATGAAAACATACCTATGGATATTATTTTCCATTTCTGCCCATATATCCTCCTAAATGTTACACTGGACCTTTAAATTCAGTTTTTATATTCTGATAATTTTACTGTCCCACTCACAGTGAGCTGGGCCGGATCTGCCGGGAGTCCTGCTCTCCATCATTGCTGGTCAGGCTGTGTCTTGGGGTCCGACCTTGGCTGCTGCTGTTGCTACTGCTGCTGCTGTTACAGTTAGCAGATGAGGAAACAGGCTGCTGCAGCTCGGCGACTGTGGCATTGACCACACTGTTTCTCTTTTCGCCTGCAAGAACAAATAAAGATTTACAAACTCTGTTTTCAGACATTAAAAAGGTTGTAATTTTTTCTGCAAGTTGCAACTTTTACACATGCCTTTTCCTATTCTAAAACCTTACATCTGTTGACCACTGTGAGTTTTCTAAGCCCACCATATAGCAAAACATAACACATGTGAGTCAAATGAGGCGGTTCAGCTCACTTTTCTGGGAATGTGTTGGTGTGTGGAAGAGTGTGAGAGGCCTCTCACTGCACGATGGGGCTTTGCTCTCGGTGCTTCTCCTCCTGGGCAGGTTGAGCTGCATGTTGGTCGAACTGCCTGCAGAATTCGGCATGTCCTTGAATATCTGCACCAGCAAGCCACACAGTCAAGTGTGAGTATCATCAAAGAAACAATATAGAAATAGACATAACAGAAATGCCACAGAAAAGTTAAAGAGATGTGCATCAGCATGTTGTCATGCCATTTATACTCCAATATGTAACTGCAGGGCAATGTAGCTCATCTTATCACATTTAGAGCAGGTACAGTAATCACAATATTGGGCTTAAGTGTAAAAACCTGTACACCCCATGCAACAATATACAATATTGTGATTTGATACAGTACTACGGTACTAAAAAAGCACCATGACTACTAAACCACCAATGATCCATGATTCACTTTATGCCTAGTTAATCATTCTTGCCTTCTTGCCCTTTGTTGAAAAGAGAAAATGTCTAGTATAAGAGCTGATACAGTATATTAATTCCTAGGTCCACATGTCTGAATTGTCACCTATGCAGATTAGACTCTGCTAAACATAGCGCCAAAGCTGCTTGCTGCTGTGTCTCAAACTTATTTTAACTGGAAATAATTACATATGCATAAACTCAACAACAGTGGTCATTGTGGGCTTAAGTCTGCATTTGGAACTGATTGTGACAAATTTATTTCTACATCTTGAAGTCCAATTAGGCAAGATGCAGAAAATCCCATGCTGTGATAAAAAATATGAATTCACTGTGATTCAAGTTTTTTTCTCCCTCTCCAATAACGTGACTTATTGCTATATTCTTCAAACTTGATGTGTTTTCCACAACATTACTGTGTGCTACATCTTTTAGTCTGTTATTACAGCCAAAGTCAAACGTCATCATCCCCGCATCCATTTATCCGTCATCGCCCTTTTGCCGCTTTCCTGACGCTTTTCTGCCAGGTCCACACCCATAGCTCCACTCGAAAAGGAATAGGGGAAAAACAAAAAAAGATCAGAGTGCCGGGGAACCCATTTTAACACACTGAAATTGTTTTGGAGCGCACTAAAATGTCATAAGCGAGAGACTTACAAATGTTTCAATATGTCACAAAGCTCTAAAAAAATAATTTCAATATTGTTTACATTATTATCTTTTCATCTCACTACACAGATGTATTATCAAGGAAGGAGAAAACAAAGCATGTCACATAAGCTTTTGGTTGAAATCAGAAAAACAAAATGTCTGAAAAGCATCTAACCTAATCATCTTTGTATTTGTGGAGAGAGGGCAGATATGGGAAGTGCTGTCATTATGCTGCAGCGGTAGAAAACAGTGATGCAAGGACTGTGTTGAGATCTCTTTAAGGGTTCAGACCTGCTTTATCACAGTATGTATACTCAATTTATTTTGATTTGCACACTGCACTAGAGATACCTGTTGTCTGGGAAGTCTGGAGGATGGAGAGACATTTGTTGTGTGTGTGTGTGTGTGTGTGTGTGTGTGTGTTCGTATGTGTGAGTTATTATTTCAACATACACGCGTTTGTAAATTCATGCATGCACACAGGTGTGACATATTGTTTTTATGTCTGTGTGTCTGTCGTTTGTTTCCTTCACTGGCTGAACATACTGTGTGTCCACAATGGTAGGGTCTCAAACTGCTGGGCTGATTTTTCTGTTGCCATGGTGACATCTGTAAGCAGCTTGGCCTGCCAATAAGCTGCTCGGATCTAAAGGGGAAAGTGGCTTTGAAGTGTATATAGAGTAGGCCTATATACAGAAATGTGTGTGTGTGTGTGTGTGTGTGTGTGTGTGTGTGTGTGTGTGTGTGTGTGTGTGTGTGTGTGTGTGTGTGCCAAGTGTTTGTCCAGGCATAAATGGTTAGGTGTATTAACTGTTTTAATGTACAGTTGCACAAAAGTTAATCCCCTTGACAAAGCCATGGGATTCACTTAATCCCCAACCACGTCACCAAACTCTGCTGTTTGTGTTAATTATTTGTATACATACACACTCACACCCTCTCACCCTCTCATTGTGTTCTATGAGGATCTCTACTACAATGTTCTGGAACTTGATGTCCATGATGGCGGCCACCGTCTCCTCCTGAGGGCGGAGCAGAGTTGGCCCGAAGACCACACCCAGATTGGCGACGGTCATCAGGTTCTGCTGGTGGTGATTAGCAACACTGTTGAGGAGAGGTAGACAGAGAGAGAGAGACATTCAATCCAAATGAAAAACCTGTACCCTGACCATTTTTAAAGCTGTACAATTAAATATTTTATATCAGCAATGGATCAAAAGACTGTGTGTAGTGTAAAAGGTGTCACTTGTAGTGATGAACCCTCAGAGAATTACCACCCAACTCCACATTACCCCTCAGTGCTCCAAAGAATATAAGCATCTTTCAGATCGTTTTGGTTTTTCCACCCCACCTCCATCTCTGACGAACCTGTCCACCACTGTAAGCTACCTTTCCAGCACCACGGCAGACAGATAAAATTAGCGACTAGCTTGTAAACATAGTGCGGGTACTTAGCTGCAATACAGCCAGATATCTTAGGAGCTAGTGGACACCAAACAGAGCTGAAAGGAGATATATTTTTATATTTAGGAGTTAATAGTTCACTTGCATTCTTCAGATTGCCTGAAACATGAGTCCAAATGAATGTTAACAGACAACCAAAGAAGCAGTTATAACAGAAGTACAGACAGTTGTTGCTATGGAGACGATACACCATCTTGTCAAGTTGCATTGGTGTGAATGGGCAGGTTTTCAGAATGTTGCACACAAGTTTTCAAGTTGTCTCGTTGCGAATGTCTGGTCTAAACTGGGCTTTATATAACAGTCCTGCAAGAAATCCCACCTTCAAGAAGGTTGTAATGTTCAGTTTTTGTTTATTATTATTTTATTATTATTATTATTATTTTGGAGAGGTGTTGAATTATATTGCATTATACTGATGTGTTTCCATTATTTTGCCCACCACATTTATATAAATGAGGATAGGCTAAACAACAGAAGCACCTTTTTATATGACTTTCATGAAGGTAGGATTTATTGCAAGACTTTTGTAAAGAGACTGTAGACTTTGTTTTAGCTAAGTCTACCTAATAGACTGGCAGCTGAGTGTATTTTCTCTAGTGACAGAATAACCATTTAGTCCCTGTGACAATATTGTTTTTACAGAGCACTGATGCCAATAAATCGTCTGAACTGAATTGAAAGAGACAGAGACGGGATGTGTGTTTACTGTGATTCAGCCATTCAACCTAGGTGTAATCCACTAAGCCCAGGTAAAGATGTGCATGTCCTTAAAATACCTGCATTTGCACCTGACTACATGTTGTATAAATATGGCTGATGTCCTATTTGTCACACATTAAAAGATGCCGCTGCTGTTGAAGAAAACCCAGATAAAGCCAGGGCTTAGATGTGGGTTTAGAGTGAAAACACAATGCCAGTCGGCTACATTAGAGGAATAATTGCACATAAGCCAACAGTGTCATGCCCTGCTTTTTTGCTTATGGGCTGCAGCAGCTTGTGGTTATGTAATCTACAGACATACAGCCTGTTTGATTCACAAATGTTCTTGTTTATACAGTATTTTGTTGCCTACATACAGTACAAAAATGCATCCAAATGTGGAGGCAAAGTGCTGAAAGAAAAAAAATGAGGAGTCATTTGTCAGGGATTGGCCTTCATAAGAAAAACTGAGAGCGTTTCAGGAGCACATTTATTGAACTTAATCATCCTGAGTGCTCATCAGCATCTATCCTGCTGAAAAGTCCTTGAGCAAAGTTGCAATCAGAAGGTGAGTAGCATCATATTATCCCCTAATAAGCAGTGATTTTGTGATTTGCAGATCAAAAGACATCTATATGCCTAGGTTAAAAAAAGGCATACAATATATATATAGTCATTTAAATAATGTTACAACAGAAGTTATAAGAAAACTAATTGCCTAAAAACTTTGACTTTTCAACCAAATTTAGCCACGTTTTAATCTAAACATGGGGACACCTTTTGACCTGCCAATCAGAAAATGTGTCTTTACTAGGCTGCGAACATGGTAGCTCCTATACTTCCTGGCATCCATAGAAAGACCTGCACTTGACCATTATCCCTCTTTAACTTCAAGGGATTAAATCAGCAAATAGATTTGGCCTGGTGGCTGCTGAATGGGTTTCTATTTTCAGTACACACTACCTTAATGCATGTGGTCAAGAGGTTACACAGAGCCCTAATCCTCCTCGAGGATGAACAACAATAATCAAGCTAAGAAGTATAACAGCAATGTGGGTTTAAAAAGAGAAGAGGAGATGGCTATTAGCGCTACATAGTAACTGCAAAAATGAAATACTGTGCTGTTTCTCTGGTGCACAACGTCCGATGCAGCATAATAATGAAAGACTGCATGTGTGTAATATCTCCACCTACTTGGCCAGGTGTTTCATCAGCAGCTCCAGCATCTGTCGGTTTTTCTCAGGCAGCCGGTGCACCAGAGCATGGATCTCTGTCACCCTGGCCTCTGGGTTGTCCAGCTCTGGACAGAGACAGATATATAGACAGAAAGAGAGAGAGAGAGAGATGCTGTTAAAGAAATAAAGTTTAAGTCTTCAGTTTAAGGTCAGTGGCACATTTAAGAACTTCTTTACTGACACATAAGGAGCAGTCACAAACACTTGACGGGTAAACTTAAGTGTCTACAACTGGAATGCACTCTTTTTATTTGTGTTGTTAGAGATGATACATCCTCTAACAAGTCATCATTGTGAACACAGATATTTGTAAGACCTTGCTGTAGAGACATACAGCTGAAAATGAGCTAAGAAATAAAAAGAATCACGTACAAAGACTTCAAGTAAAATAACAGGTTTGGTCAGCTTTATTCACAAGGTAAAAATCTCTCAGATTCAGTGGATCTGTTACACAGAGGTTGTTATAGCTAATAGTACATACAGCACATAAGTGTTGTCGGATGCAGAGACCAGACAAAAAAACGGCAGAGTGATCGGAATGAGAGACAAATTAAAAGGAAGTTTCAATCAATGAGTGTTTAACACTGCTGCAATGTGGGGAAGCTCTGTATCCCGGAGATTAGACAGAAAGGTAGACAGAACGGTAGACAGAAAGGAAAGACAGACAGGCCAGTAGAGAGACCTGTTGTTGATGAATGACTATAATAAGTCACAGGCTGCAGAGGCAGTCGATGGAGAGATGACAGCAGACTCACACTAGATCAACCCTTGGGCCCTGGCTGTCAGCACCAGGCAATACACTCACAACTGGTAGAGCATCTCAACTAACAGAGCTGAAAAGCTAAAACAGAGCACACTAAAACAATTAAATATACAATAAATACAGACCAAATAATTACACACACACACACACACACACACACACACACACACACACACACACACACACACACACACACACACACACACACACACACACACACACACACACACACACACACACACACACACACACACACACACACACACACAAAACAGCCCCTGTAAATTTACTAATTGCAAATTTAGCCACACACACATCCAAACAAACTCAACATACACATGCATGTGCACGTCCATTACACCCACACATACCTCCAAACAGATGCACGCACATGAAAACAGTAACAATCAACGCCCCCTATTATGCATTCTCTAGTCCTGGGAGAAAAAAAACACTTAACACGCATTATGCTGAAGCACACACTCTTCCTTCAAACTGTCAGAAAACCAAGTTCAACACTACTGAAAAGGTGTGACTTCTATCCAGGAGTAAAGGCTCTGGAATTAACTCCCATTACTGTCTACAAAAGCCAGGAGAGAGATAAAAACGAAGATGCGCTATGTATGACTACGTATGACTACGTAGGACTATCAGCACCTGTAACAGTCACTAGCAAACTGGTTATATCTCATTAGCCCTAATTTGCGCCATTAACAGGAAGTTATGAGGGGTAACTATTTATTTTGCCCTTTTTGTAAAAGTTAGTACAGTAACAAGGAAACTGGATTTACAAAAGTATAGAGTAGCTGTCAAATCATTATACCTCATGCCAGGAAGAAACAAAGCATCACTAGAAAGACCAACATTAAGTTGGATGATTAATTGTACTTTTCTCATTCAGCATGAGGCTATTTATCAGAGTGAAGGCTCTGCGAAATTAGCTTGTGGTCAGGTGTTTAAAGTTTAAATCTTAAATACTGAACTTAAAAATAACTATTTCATTTAGTTTTCTTCACAGAAATCGACAAAATGCTTAGGTATTGGCTTACTGTGTATTTTTAAGTTGTCATACACCCTTTAAAGTCAAGAAGGCCTTGCAACCCCTGTGAAGCTTTGGCGATACCTTGTGAGGGTTCCGACCCCCAGTTTGGGAACCACTGGGTAATGTTCATGTTCATTAACTGTCACATATACTCAATACTCTGTAGGCTATCCAAATAGTGTAACCAGAAGTTGTCTTGAACCAACTGCACGCAATTACATACAGATGACCAGAAATACAGACCGATATGTCAAAAAAAAAGAACATACTACATACATACTTTGGCAAAGTATTTTGGTATTTGCCTTATTGTTTTGATTTATTTACAACTCTGCTTCAACTGCACATCACAAAATGTACACATTCACCTGCACATACTGTATACACATGCACACCAGCCGCTGTGATGAGTCAAAAAAAACAAACACACACAAACCGAGTCTAAATGTCGATGTAACACTGTGAGGTCAGTGGCTATGGTGCTGACTCACAAGTGATTACACCAAGCAGAAATCATTCATCATCGCAGCCTCCACCTCATCCATCACATAATAGATGACGACCCTTTAAAGACACTCTCGCCTTGAATTTCAGTCCTTCAGACAAAATAATAAATACGCTATGTTCCCAGTACTAGTATGTCCTAATAGTAGAGATTTAGAATTATGTTCTGGCAGCCACCAAAAAGAATTTAGCATTTAAAAACAAACAGTTTTATCCACTGCAATATTACAAACAACACAGGGTAATGTGATGTCTACTTTAGATAGCATAAAACTTGCAACTAAATCGTGCTGCCTGGATGTACTTGCAATGAACAGACATACATTATGTTTCATATAAGGCAGCGGTTCCCAACCTTTTTTTCTTAAGGGACCCCTTTTTCTATCAGTGAGTAAACTGGTGACCCCTGACTAAGTGGTATATGTTATGGAGTTAATGTAAAACTAGCGATTTTGATGGATTTTGAGCAGATTATTTCCTGTGAATACTAATGAGAGATGAGTTTCATTGATATTTTTTGGAACATTTTATACAGTTCTCTGTCTGTAATACATATACACACATACAGTATATTCTAACAATCATACATACTAATTCAGTGTTTTCTTCTCATTGTTTTATCAGCTCTTTGAACTCGGAACTTTTCTAATGCAGGAAAGAAACAGAAGTGTTCAGGTCTTCAAGTTTAGATCTTAAATAAAAATCTTAACTTTTCTAAATTTCATTTAGTTTTCTTTAAAGACATAAATGCTGAGATATAAGCCTACTCTGTATATTTTTTCAAGTAACTAAGTTTTCTTACACCCCTTAAAATCAAGAAGGCCTTGCGACCCCCAATGCAGCTTTGGCGACCCCTAGTTGGGGTCCTAACCCCCAGGTTGGGAACCACTGATATAAGGAATAAAAAAGCATGGTTCCATAGAGACTAAATGGTCTGACAGTCATATACACACAAGCACTTGAACCTTTAGCCTGTGCCATTACTGATAGCCATATTTTTTAGTAATGACTTCAATGCTATTCTTTATGCTGATGACATTTTACTAACACTAAGTGTAAGGACCAAGTCTTTTGTTATGAGGTTAACTGGGATAAGAATGTTCAGAGTTTTATAAACTCTTTTGTTTTCTACTTTGAAATCAGATATAAAAGCATATATTTGTGTAAAATGCCACCTTCTTTACAGCTTCCAGCTCTGGAAGAGCTAAGAAAACCGTCAGGGTCTCACTTCATTAAAAGTGAATCAGTGCATCTCTTAAGCAAGATGGGATTTTGATTATGTATGGGGTACATACTTTTACAATTAAAGTCAGGAAAGAAAACATGTACACACCCACATACACACATTACACAGTAAATGAAGTGTGCATTACTTCAAAAAGCATGCCACATCTGCTGACCATCAGCTGATCCTTAACAAACTCCAGCACCACCACCTGTTCTCTTTTCTTATCATTCATTATTCATACTTCACATCTCCAGGCCTGGCAGTATGTGCAGCACTATATATCCCATATCTTGTCTTAAGCATACTGCTTGGATTCATACAGTGTTGTGGAACACAATCTAGAACAAACTAAACATACATGTACAGATACATATTCAAAACATCTACAGTTTTCACAAGGAAAACTTTGTTCAATAACAATAATTATTTTTAAGAGTGGGGTATACAAACTGAGTGTTTCACATTTCACATATTTGGCAAAATCTGAACAAGAGAACACATGATTTTAATTTATCTGAAGGGTGACTGATCTGAAAATCTAAGGAATGGCTTTCAAATGGTCTCCTATTTCATGAAAAATACAATCTAAACTATTATACTGCGAATAAACGCACTATCTTTTAAAACTGCACTCATGCCTGCTCATGAATATTTTTATATCAACAATGGGTTGTGTAATAGTATGAACCCACAGAGAACTATTAGCAGACTCTCCCTTCTATAACCTTTTAAGGTCAAAGTTGTGTTTAGAGCTTGCTCCTCTTCCCTCAAGTGGCCAATTAAACCATTTAATACCGCTTTAAGTCCACATGCAAAACACGTTCTCATACCTATCTACTAACAATCACTTGATGGATAAACGGTCATAGAAACTTGGGAAGAAACAAATATTTAGTTTCATTGCAATTAGCAAGTAAAGGCTAGAAACGGCTACTTTGGAGTTTAAATCCTGGACACAGCTTCAATAAAAGAAACTATCGCTATGAACAGCTGCAGGCAAACTAAAGGTGCTGTGATAAATGTTTACTTACAGAAAGCTCTGCATGCAAATATACATGTTATTCATTTGAATAATGAAGTAAGAGTAGCTTGTCTTAGTAAATCTCCAGTTTTCAGTTTGCTTTTTTATGTCATCTGTTTCTTGTCAAGCTGAAAGACATGCTGGAAGCTATCTGGCCATCACTGGCAGGAATGATCAGAATCATCATGTGGGAGATGAGAAAACATAAGGTTTGACCACTGTTTTAGATGCAGGCTGAAATCACACCACCTGGCTTGGAGCAACATAACACTGCCTGCATCCATTCACCCACACAAAGCAATCTAAATTATTGACCACAGTGGTTCCCATTGTTAGGAGTAATGCCAGCAGGTTTGCTGTTAAGATATTACTGTTCGCCAAACATTCTCCTCTTTGTCAATAAAGCCATGTCAGTATTTCCAGCAAAAGCAAAGAATCTCGAGAGCAGGTTAGGTAGAATAATGTGGTGACACAGAAAGGGATCTTTCTGGAAACAATGTCAAAAGAAAAATGATCTGTTTGAAGCATACTGATGCCTGTAGCTGCTGCCACCACAACTTTGACAAAGAAAATTAATGGCTTGATGGACGGAGAACAGATATTTTGAAAAGATCCATCTTCATTTCAAAGAGCAGGCAGTATATTCATAAGTCTTCACTTGACCGCTTTTCAGAGTCTTTCAAATGACAGACAAAATAAGAGAGAAGGGCTATGTACTTTGATTACTATGTCAAGATGGACTCACATAAAATATCCAAAATATAGCGCTTTTATTTAGTGATTTTGATTTTGATCAATTCTGCTTATCTGTCCAAATCTGTTCCCTTAGTCCTGATGCCTGATCAATGTTCTGTGTGGAAAAAAAAGGCGTCCAAGCCTGCCTGCATGGTGCTAATGTTATTATAACATAGGATATTTACCCTCAACGTGCTCAGTTGGGAAGCAGTGGCAATGCAAAGAGTGTCAAATGAGGTGTTCGTGGAATTTAAGCACATGTTGCATAGAAAGATATGTCAGTAAAATTATAATTTTACTTTCATTTGGAACCAGTTTTCAACTAATCCAGTTCTCAATTTCCATCCCTAATTAAAACATTTCAATACTGAGGAAAGAGAGTGACTTGCTTGGAAACATTACTGTTTGTTTTTTCAAATGAAAAGTTTGGCTGCTTGAAAAGAGGAATAGGATCTTTTAAAGCCTGTGAAATATTTGCCATGGACTCTGGATGTCAAACTGCACATTGGTATTAAATTCAACTCATGGTCAACATCTTTCACCCCTGTGTCATCTATCCTTTCATATTTCTATGTATTAGGTTATAAAGCAAAAAATACAGTGCTGATAAAAGTGAATAATGTCTTCATCTTTATACCTTTAGAAAAATCCTTCACCATGCAGTAGTGACTAATTAAGCCCATTGAAAAGAGAGTTGAAGGAATTCAAGCAGTACAACTGATGATGTCAGATAAGAGATAAAGAGAATCAAAGGTGAAATATGAGGAGAGGATTTATGAATTAATGAGAAAGAGATATTGCAAGCAAACCCTAATGACTAGAGACAGGGTAATTACAGTATTTGTATGTTTTCTTGTTGTTACATGCCTAAGGCAGGTATCCGAAATCCAGGTGGCACCCCACACTCCCTCGGCCTCATCTTTCAAAATCTCTTTTCCATGGTCTAATAAGTGCTTACGGAACTTTGTCATCTAGTCTAGGAGCCACATGAGAAGAATTTAATAAACTGAAATGACTGCAGTGACTGTTGGAGTTTAGGCAATCTGTCTTCAAGAGAGCAGAGTGTTTTGGAAATGAAATTATTAATCCTGTCCCATTACACCACACCCACCAGGTGCTGGTAAAAAAAAGAATCTTTGCAGCTGCTGTTTGACCCAACAAACCCTAAAACAATAGGCTCTCCATTTAAACCAGATATTTAAAACCAGAGTACCACAGGATGGAGAGAGTAAGCAGAGACGAAACTAGAAGGGGAAGAGGAGGTTTGCGAGCAGGGTGGTGGGAGGAGTTGAAGCAGATACGTGAAAGAGAGGAGGAGAGAGGGACGAGCCGAAGGAAGGAGTTCAACTGAGGACGCTGTCCTCAAAACACCCTGCTGCTTCTACAAATTTATTGCCTTGGAAAAAATAGCAAACGTGCACTCACACAAGCGGACACGCATTCTTGCACATATGCATTCACACACGAATTCATGACATGCAAATTCAGACACCCACATAAACAGAAACTGATGAATTACAGGGCAAAAGAGAGAGAAGAAGTTTAACAGTAGAAAAGAACCAGGGCAAGACGAGAGATAGAAATCTGCGAATGTCAACAAATTTGTTGGCAAATACACGTTATATTTTATGATTATTACAATGAATGAATACATGCATGATAGCATGGGTGGTCCACGTTGGTATCAAAGCTACCTTGGCATTCTTAACTGCCATGCTCTACTCCTTTCTGCTAATACGCACTTTTCTCATTTCTCATTTTCTTTCCAGTTGGCCTCACTATGGAGCCATTTCCTGGTAGCGTTGCCAGAGACACACGGTCATTTCCTGGAGTTCCTTCCCCTGTCAGCTCAGCTTTCTAGAGGCTTAGCTACCAACAAACAAAGAAAACAGATCGCTGATACATCCTGTAGCACAGCAGACCAGACTGGACCTGACTAAACTAAATTGCACCTGGGCTTGCTAGAATAATCAATTTTCGAAAAATTCTGTAAAAGGCAGATACAGCAACGACACAGAAATGCTCCACACCATGAAAGCCAGGGGGAAACAGACCTACCTAAACTAAACTGGATCAAGACCAGACACAACCTTGAAGCACAAACTATTAGATTCTGCAGTAAAGAGTCTTCATGCAAAGTCTCTCTTTCAGGGTCTAAATAATTTAGTCCGTTCAAAACTTTATTTTGTAGCCTTGCAGCCTCTTAAGAAGAATCTAATACACTGAAATAATTGCAGTAACCGTTGTGATTGCTGAGTTTAACCAATCTGTCTACAAGACAGCTGAGTGAAATTATTTATCTTGCCTCAATACAGCACACCCAGGTGTTGGTAAAAAAAAAAAAAAAAAAAAAAAATGAATGGAACATTTTGCAGCTGCTGTTTGACCCAACAAACCTCACAACACTAAGCTTTTATTGGGTTGTCACTTTTAGATCAGCTCCCCAGGCTTTTTCCTCTTCATGTGGATTTCAAATCACATATAAAAACACTACACACAGCAGGTCAGTAACATACCGTGTGACACACACACACAACATAAAGCGGCGCGGTAAAGGGGCTCCAGTTACCAGAGCAAACAGACATCATGGTGGCCCTGTGGGTGTCCTGGTATCTCAGCAGGTGAACCGTCTATTTGTAACTGGCAACTGTTTTATAAGCAAGTCATAACCTCATTCACACGATGATTCATATGATGTTCTCGTTCTCCAAATTAAACTGAGGAGGAAAGCTAAAGAAATCATTTTGAGAGGTAAGAAGAGGACAAATAATCCCTGTCTTAAGTATAACAAACATTAAAAAAACATACAATCCATCAACTGACTCAAGAGAACTTCAGTGTAAATCAATAACAGATCAAAGGTTACTTAATGATTACCCTCCGTAGCAGATTGTTGTAAGAATATGTGCACTCCAAGTAAACTGTACGGTCTTTTATTTACTACAGTTTTTTTTTTTTCATTCCAAGGAGGTCTTAGAATAATTGTTCATAGTTTTATATATGGGTAACCTCAACCAACCTCAAACTGCAGGAGAGATCTTGTGTATCGCTGACTGACAAAAAAGACACATGAAAATAAAAATAAAACACTCACTGGCAGCTTTGATGAAGCTCCTCTGGTACTGGTATGTCATGAGTGGTGCAGGCAGCATTCTGGAAACACAAGAAACAGAGATAGTTTAAAATTTTCAGTTCAGTTGGCCGCTTTGTGAAAATCAATAAATGTGAATAGTTCTAGAGGATGTCTTTTTTTACTCCGCCATGCTAGTTTGCACAACTGGATGCCAGTTTAATCACTGCTGCCTGAAGAGTATAATGGCTCCTGCTGGTTCTCAATGAGGCCTGACCTGATGTCCTGATACTGTAAAGGTGTGTATGTGTGGCATGTGTGTGTGTGCGTGTGTGTGTGTGGCTGTGAGTGTGAGGACAGCTGGTATTAAGCCGTCCATTTATGTGCCAACAAAGTGCATGTGTATGTATGTGCATGAATGTGTGAACCCTTGTACAGTACAGCAAATTGAGCACAGATAAAACACCACCCGGCTCTTTCCCTTCATGTGTTTCTCCTTCCACTTAGCTGCATATTCTCGGGACCCCCACAGTTCTGATCCTTCCCTCATTAACAATTCAAGAGCATCTCAACTCTTGAGGAAGTAATCTGCTGTTATACAGTGGCCAGCAGGTAAGACTGGGCTTGCACTATGAATGTATGATTTTGTGCAACTGTGTAGGGGAGAAACCACTCCATAGGTAAATGAAAGTTTCTAAAATTAATAAAACAGGCTTAACAAGCAAATACAGCAAATGTTGTATGAATAAACAGGAAAATTAACAGTTTAAAGAGTTGATCCAGCCCAGAGGTCTGTTTTATGCAGGAGACAGAGTCTGAAAGCAGCAATATGCATTTATTCAAATAATAAAAAGAGCATTTTTCATTTTGGAATGAGAGGAATACTAGGAGCTGTGAAAAGAGCAGTAAGTCTATTTACCATAGATCTTTGAGGTTAAAAGACATTATTAATCTTTTAATACTGACGGAAACATGCAAGTACAACAGTGAGAAAACTTCGATAAAAACAAACTTTATAACTTAATGTTCTATTTTTCTAGCTTGTATATGCACTTATGTAAGCCTTTTTTCATACAAACCTGAGATAGTGCTTGATAGCACTCGTGATAGTCTTAATCTCCCACTCAGGGTTTTCCAGCTCCACGTCAGCACATGTCTTAGGATCTGATGGAAATAATATGAAGATTTAAAAAAAAAAAGACAAGAAAATACATTCTTTTCTCAGTGCTGACTAAATATGTTTGTTTCTGTGTTTACCCATAGCGAGGCTCAGTAGTTTTTGTACTCTGGAGCTGACGCCAACTATCCTGTACAAGCCCTGCTCATTGATACCTAAAGGGAGGTGCAAGGAGAGGAGAGGTTACTTCTTCTTACATCAGGAAGAGTACGTTTTACCATTCAAATGTTAATTCATCCACTTATAAATAATGCTAAAATAGAAACAACAACAAAAAAACTAGCCGCTTCCTGGTTTTCATTTATTTTTGTCCAAGTATTTCAGCTGTACCACATCTTGCAAAAATACTAGTTGTATTATGTTTACACGTGTGCAGTATATTGTATGTTTTTTCATCAACTGTGACATATGATATAGGTGAAAATGAAAAAGTATTGTTTTCTCTATTACTGCTGTCGAGTGTTGCCCATAGTGCAAACAGTAGTCTGTACTGTGTACCATTGTGGTGGGAAAAAACACATCTGAACTAAATCTAACTCAAATGTTCAGTGTCTCACACTAAAGAAGCAGAAAATCCACAGAACAAAGGGAATAAAAGAACTGTACGCTGTACCTCGAGTATCTACTGCGTAGATAAATTTTTTCATCACGTTAAACCCGATCACATCCAGCTGGGCCACTGATGGAGTGAGAGATGGAAAGAAAGAGTGTGAGTTGTCACAGTCAAATTAGACAGAGTTAGAATTACTTTTGGCGACATTAGAATGCTTTATGATTTAGAGATACTGAATTAAAACCATATTGTAGGGCCAAATCAAAACATAGCATTTTGAATAAATAATATATAAATGCATCTAACCCTGCTAATACAGAAAGTCAGATGATAATGCTAAACAATCCAATGCCACTGAATAAACAGTTAATTGATACCAATTAAAGCTACTTACTGCCTTCAGCCTGATTGTCTTTGTTCAGATTGTAGACCTGCAAAAAAATAAAAATAAACATCAACTCCTTTAGCTAGAACATGATTTACAACTAATGAGGGCATGAGATATTTGTACATTACATTAGTAGTCAACATTTCAAACAAAAAAACAAATCAAACTCACCCCCATTATATTCTGTTGTGCTGTGCCTATTATGCTTTGAATGCTTGTTAGCAAATGCTGCACATTTCAATTATGAGAAACCTGAATACATTACCTGGGGTATATCAGGATATTGAGTAACATAAACAAATGTCACATGTATTGTTGGTTTTTGCAATCAGCATAAGTTCAGTTTCCATGGCAATGGTGAGAATATTTTGGCTAGGTTAGGGCTCTGTGCACACATTTATACCTGAGATTAATTTAAAAAGCACTTAAAAACCTGCAAGTTAGAATTCATTTTTTCCACATTAAAATAATAAACTGACTATAAAATACTGTAAATATAAAACTGTCTGTGACAGTGTGTCCTTATGTTCAAATCCACCCCATTTTGGCTCACACAGGATGAAATGTACATCGATGGCAAGTTTGTATTGATTATCCTGGTGAAGGTACAGCAGCAGCCACAGAAGAGGGAAGTCTGATGAGCTTAAGTGAAACATGAACATTATGTGTTTTAGTACAGATCGCCTGAGCTAAGCAACTGCTTGTTCAAGCTTGCAGTGGATTTATGGATGCTGATTACCTTTGAACGTTTGAATGTAGACATGAGGATGAGGGAGGTGTTGGGACATGAACTTGACTAAATGGTGTGTGCAGTGTGGAAAGCAGCACTAACACACACTTCCAGCCTTGGGTTGATGCTGTATATTAAGATGGTATAAACCCCAGTGTTGGGGAGCCTGGCTGTCAGTCAACTTTCCAATTAGGAAAATAAACAACAACATTATCTATGGGTTAATGGCTCCATGTCAGTGGTTCCCAAACTTTTTTTAGCTTGTGGCTCTTCAAATGAAAGTGTCTACTTGCAAGTCCTCATCACAGGTTGCATACTGTATACCTCCTCAGATTGTTTTAGTGTTAGGGGCCTAGAGTAGCTAAACTGTATTTCACAACAAAAAGATTGGAGAAAAGTGTTGCATTTCCTTCCTTCCTCATTAACTGTTTAAGTGAGGCTTACACAACAACCAATTGTCACGCTGCCAATCCACATATCAATATGAGTTATGTGTTTCTCTCTCTCTCTCTCTCTCTCTCTCTCTCTCTCTCTCTCTCTCCCTCTCTCTCCCTCTCTCTCCCTCTCTCCCTCTCTCTGGTAACCGTGGTAACCTACCGGTTCTCTCCCATCCATGGCCTCCATCCACAACCTGCGGTCTTCTTCTGACAGTGCCTGCATAGTGATCACTCCCGGCCTTCACACAAAAACACAACATTGTCCGTTTAATGCAGTCAACAAATCTCACAAATACTGGCCAAAACAAACACAAACATAAACATGCAAACACATACATGCAGCAGCATACGCCTTTAAAACAAACTACAGTTGTAATCACAACATCACACTTAAAACTAAGAGCTTCTCAAATGAACAAATTCTTCTGTATTTTTTGAACCAACTGTTAGATGATGATTGAATTGATTGATTGAAAATCAGTATTCAGTATTAAATAAGTTAAAATACCACTGCTACTCATCAAATGACACAGTTGTTTATAAAGAATCTCTGCATAAAATCTCATACTTCTCATACTCACAAACACATGATGATTAATTCAACTAAAGCAACTAAGATATATTACCCTGATATAGTAAACCTTCAGTGTGAGCACGCAAGCGCACACACACACACACACCCTCATTAGTCAAGTCTATTCCAATCTTCTATAGGTTTCCAATCAGTCCTATACAATCTGTCACTCAGGCAGGGCACTCACCTTCAACTGTCACCACTACAGCACTACAACCTTCCTCCCGCACGCTGATCTACAGACTGTCCTTCAATCATGACATACCACCCAGCATACAATCACACTCATACATACACACTTACGTACTGAATGTGCAGACACATTCTGTACCCCGGTGGACAGTTACACAGAAATACACGCAAACCAACACACGCGAAGGAATGCAAACATTTGCTGCATAAATTACATCATTAAATGTATTTATGGTAGTCTGTGCAACAACCACACAAATTGTTTGTGTAAACAACCCACTAGAGCAAACGTCTTTGCTTGCTTTAGCCATCCCTTATACCACTTTAGAGACAAACAAACACACACCAACAGATGCATACCAAACAGTAAGAATATAAATAAAGGCACAATGGGGGAACGGGAAACATAGAGGATGAGATGATGACAAGGTGACTGGATTTGATGGGGGAAGGTTGAAGTTGAGGAGGAGTAGACAAGGGAGGGCAGAGGGAAAAGGAGGAAGGAGGAGGAGGAGTGTAGGAAGTGAAACACGGCAAGGGGCTGAGCCCGTGAGAACAAACAGCCATGAATTAACTGAGCACCCCCATGTGTCTGTTAGGTGTAATTACACCACATACAAAAAAAAACATTGATTGGTGATGCTTCCATGACTTTTCTATAACTGCCTGATTTTTCCTTCCACAATATTCTGGAGATGTGACAATGGAAACGATGGAAAAGCTGCAAGTAAAATGCCTTAAAAATAGACACAGGAAAGCACTGCTGTTGCATTACACGCATGTGGGGTACAGTTTGCAACTTGAATAAGAGATAAAGTGAGATAAAGTAATGTGAAAGGGAACCAGTTTGAACAAACACACACACTCACTCACTCACCTGTCAACAGCCTCCACATCAAAACAAAACCTCTTTTCTATTGAGTCGGTCTTTCTCCTGGTGCAGGACTTGAGCATGAAGCTCTCTTCTTCTCCCTGACGAAGAGAGTGTAAAAGAAGTATTTAAATATCATTTGTATTTAGGCATAAGTGCATAGATGAGAGGCAAACCTACTGGTATCACACAATAAGAAGAGAAGAATCCTGAAACAAGCAACTGGATGTTGAACTCTGACAGATGAATCAAAACACAAGGTCAGTTTTTTGTACAATTTCAATAATAAGGACTCACTCTCCTTCCCCTCATGTTGGAGAGCGACTGAAACAGACAGCGTTTCCAACTCTCAATTGGAAGCACATTGAGAGGATAACACTTTAAGTGTGAGGTGGGCAACAACACAAATCTCTGCAGGAACTGACAAACAAGAAAGGAGCTTGCAACAGAAAAATATGTATAAATAGGTACTAAGAGATGTGGTGTTACCGTACCATCTTGGAGTTATATAAGCACTTAAAAGGATTTGAGCATTATCTCATCACAGACTGAACCCTGTCGCACACTGTTTATGAGACACTAAGTCACAGGTTCAAATTCATTTTGAGGCAATATTTTTAAATTTCTGTCCCTCATAATACTTTACTAACACGAACACAAACATTCACTGTAAAGGAGAGGAGTAAAAACAGCAAGTCCCCATATTTTAACTAATGTTGAGTGATATTCACCATGTGTATGTTATAGCCCCAGAAGACGGAAACAATGCTGAGCCCATCTTTCATAAGACGTGTGTTAATTTATTTATTCCGTTTTGATTTTTTGAATCAATTTTATTTAGATTTTTTTAAATATAAAGATACTGTGTGATAAAGCAGCATATGTACATTCCCACTTCATATACATTCAACATATATACAAACCTTTTAAGACCGGTTCTCTTTCTATAAAACATCAACAGGCCTAGGTCTGATGATGTGTTATGTTCTTGCTGTCCCACTCTGTTGAAAAGCTTTCTCATATGTTGTGTGTCTACTTTTATTTCAGTACTGCTCCTTTAGAGAACAGGCCCGAGCTCGCATTCGCTTTGGGTTATTCTGCATGTAGGTGGAGAGGGTGATAACACACAAAGTCATGCTGCTTACTCACAACATCTAATCACTCATCTATTGAGGATGGGAGAAACTGTTATCGCACTCTCCCTGTATGACTGTACACCGGTGTAAAACGGTGCCTTGCGTCACAAACGCTTATCGTCTCGATACTGAAGGACTGACGCAGAACCTGACATTTTCGGTTGATCATTTAAAAACTGTTTTCCGCTCTCAAAACTTCACTGTAGCTTCCCTTAAAAAAATCTCTTGACATTGTGTTGCGTTTTGGGAAATATACCCGAACACACACTGAGAGCTTGTTGTGCTCAACAGTGAGCTGAGTGTGTTAATGAGAGTTGGAGAGCTGCCCACTGGGATGAACTGGATGAGAACCAACTGCAAATCAGACAACATGATGATAGGCTGAAGTGACACACAAAATAGGTGTGTGTGTGTGTGTGTGTTTGTGTCTGCATATGAGGGTGTCTGTGTGTCTGGAACATTTGTGTGAACTTGACTATGTATGTTTCTACTGCTATAAAGATTTATGTAAGTATCATGTTTTGTTTCCTACTGACATATAGATATAAATATAGAAAGCTAGACAAATGGATATCCTGGATGTTAACCTTATCTGTGTAGCCAAAGCAACTCACCATTTTCCCTCCTGATTTAGGGTCAAACAGGACCATGGTGACCCTCTTGGGCTCACGATGGTACGTACAGTAGTACTTCACCCAGGTAGATACAAATGAGCCTGAGGGAGAGAAAGAGGAGACAGATGAAGAGAGGGAAGGTTAAAAACGAAAACACAGAGAAAACAGTGATGTCAAATGGTCAGAGAAGAACAGAGACAGAGGCAGGAGGAGGGGGAGACAGGGTTAAAGCAAAAGAAAAAAAGGATGAGTCTTAGTCATGCCTGCTTTAGTTACCGTGGTAACCGCACGCGGTCAGAGCTGCTGTCACGTCTCCAACAGATCAGACTTGACTTCGTCAACCATAGGTTCATTATGGTTTGTTTGTTCTGCTGCTCTTGACGTGTGTGTGTGTGTGTGTGTGTGTGTGTGTGTGTGTGTCTGTGTGTCTGTGTGAGCCAAACAACATGCCCCCAACATGCACGTACTGTGCCTACACACACCCTCCCACCCGACTACTCATTCATGTTTCAATTATGCCCTCAGGAAGGTCTAACATGTACATACACATGTAACGTGTGCTGATACATACGCTTCTCCTGTACAAACAGGTATCCCTCCATGGTATGCTGGCTGACACTCTTGTGTTCATGTGGGTTCTCCTTCATCTTCCTCATCAGACACTCCACCTCCGACCGCGTGCTCTCAAAACGGTTCCTCGTCTGTCAACACAAGGACACAGGTGCACACGCCTTAGGCCTTTCAGTCTGATACCGAGGAAGCTTTAAGTGCAACAGCAGCACATGACAACCTATTCTTCAGCAAAGTGAGAAGTACATTTTAATTACGGAAAAAACTAGGAATGCTCATTGCTACAACTTCTGAAAATTCAAGCTTCTGTTTTTTAAAAACAAATAAAAACAAGCATTTTCAGAACCGCCATGTTTTCAACTGCCCTATGTTTTAGATTTTTTACTGCATAAATCTACATTTACGTGCCATGCTCAAGGTTATGATGATCTTGTGCTCTGTTTATGTGTGACCTTACATTCTGTATGCTGATGGTGAGATCAGTCTTGAAATGGTTGAAGTCCTTTGCCAGCTCATAGCCATGGTGATAGTAGGTGAACAGGCCTTGGAGAAAGGCCAACAGCTGAGGGAAGAGATGTAGTGAAAGGAAGAAACGGAGTGGATAAAGATAACAAAAAGGTGGAAGAAAGAGACGAGAGAAGGTTGAGGATTTGGAGGAAGTGAGAAAAAAGTGTGAAAGAAGGAAGACAAAACACAGGTGGGTTAGTGAACAGGGTGAAGAGGAGATATTTTATTTAGCAGATTCATAGAACAAAACGTTAGGAGAGTTTGTAACTATGTACTGTATAAATGCCAAAAAAAATGACCAATTCTGAAATAACCCAAAATTGAATATTTTAAAATACCAAACAGAGACGATGAATTAGACTTACTTTACTACAGCGTTAAAAGTCATGGGCGTGTGTCTTTATTTCCTCAGTAACTACCACTGAGGTGCCTTTGAGCAAGGGACCACAACCTAAAGAAAACGCTGTTTGCTAAGAGTTTATAAATGACATAAAAGAAGTCATCTTACAGGCTCCACGAAGTCAAACATCTTCCTCTCTTGGACCTCCTGCACCTTGAAGACGTACTCCAGAGAAACGGCGTAGAAATGCTGCCGTACATTATCTACCTGGTTGTCCGCCTGCAACGGGGAAGGAAATTAGGAAAACTGATATTCATGGAAAAAAAATATATATCACACATAATACGACCAATCAAGCTGTAAACTCAGACACAACATCTTACCTCATGTAGATGTGACTCTTTCTTCCTTGCTGAAAGGCTAAGGTGCTTCTCGAGCACTGCACAATACTTCTCTGTCTCTTTGTCATATTTTTTCTTGGCTTCCTGTAACAGATACAACAAAAACTTAAAGATTAAAACTTTTATTTGAGTGACAGATCTAGCTTCTTCTTATCTAACTCAACTCCTGTGGGACTTGTGCGGTGTTAATAGACCAAACGATTATTTTTTCCTCATTATATTGACATGGTTTTTGCAAGTAATTTGATTAGTGAGACCCCTTGTGTAGCTGGACAAAAACTGACTCAATGTTTTTACATAGCTTTTACATAATATTTTCCATTTTTCATGGAGTCCTCTGGAGAACACAGCTGCTTATTAAACAACAGACTGTTTCATCAGAGCTGAGATCATTGACTTAAGACAGATAGATGGACGATAAACCAGGGACAGATAGAGAAGGGCGTGTGTTTCTGCTGGACTGAAAAATACTGAGACAAACTCGAAAAGTGTCCAAGAAGATCAAAGAAAAACAAATACCACCTGCCAGCTGATTTCTTTTCTGACCGTATTCTAATGGTTGTCACGTTAGGATCATTAAACTTTAATGTAATTCAAGCCAGTTGAAAGGAGACATATGGATATCAGTAAAGAGGGAGAGAGAGGGAAAATGAGAGGTGGAGTGAACACATAAACAGAGCAGGGGCAGATCAGGGTGGGTCCTACTCTGTCAGAGAGGCCCTGGGGTGTTATTACTGTACATCTGCCCCGGCCTGTTAACATTATTTCATTTCTTTATCCCAGACTCATAACATGACCGGGCTGGAACATCACAAAGAAGCTCAAAAACATGGCACATACTAACAGATTCAGAGTACTTTGAAAACACTCAAAATCAACTTTATTAGTTTACTAAAAGAAGACAACCTTAGTGTATTAGGCAATTAAGCACTTTAATAATTTCATTAAGTAAAAAATTCTGGTTCCACTTATTAAATGTGAGGCCTTGCTGCTTCTCTGTTTTCAATGTAATCAGTGCAAAAGCCAATAATAGACAATAATAATAATAAATAATAGATAATAAATAATAATAATAGTTTGTAATGCCAGTTCAACCACTATCCACATTTTTATATAAATGATAACTATTCTAGTGATTCAAGCTTAAATTAACAGAAGTATTGCTGACAAAATGATACATCCTATAATCTGTCCTGTGGGGACCAATGAGCTCTAAGCACATAAACCGGAATCCTGATGTGAGCCAAACTACCGTTTACCAATTCTATTTTAATTTCCATCTTAAAAGGACCAGTTTGTAGGATTTACTGGCATCTAGCAGTGAAGTTGCAGATAACTGGACACAGCTCGCGTCTGTATTTGATGACCTTGCAATGAGAATGGGCTGTGAAGTGTGTTTGAAACTATGGTGCCCAAAACCCACAAAAAACACAAAATGCGGTATCTACAGCCAGTGTTTGGTTTGTCTGGGCTACTATAGAAACATGGCGGTTCAAACGTGGCGGACCCATGGCGTCTGTAGATAAAAACGGTTCATTCTGAGGTAACAACACCACAACAATTACTATATTCAGGTGATTATACACTAATGAAAACATACCTATGAATATCATATTCCATTACTGCCATTAGAGCCCACTGGTTGTTACACACTGGACCTTTAACTTCACTGATGCCAGTTGGGAAATATGCCGATATTGTGTATACTCTAATGCACATTTGTTAACCATGGAAGATATCTTTAATATCTGTGGTTTTGTAAAGTGCCTAATAATTAGGCCATTGACCTTTATCATGGAAGATATTTTGACATGTCACAGTAGGAAAAACACTTGCATCAACGATAAAAGGGAACAATGGCTGAATTCCATTTAGCTAATTCAGTTTCAAGGCCCTGGTGTTGTTCATGCTGGCTCATAGATACTTGAATAGAACAGAGCCATTGTTAATTTTATTAGTACTAAATGTGCTTTTCTTCTATGACAAGTCAAAATGTCTGTTGTGAAAAAGGCCAACTGTGGGTAATGTTGTAAATCAATGAGCAGCACTTTTTTATGGTATTTCGGGATTTACAGGATTTCAACATGATGAATTGCCTTCACCGGTGATGACTGTACTTTGCCGTATTAACCAGTCTTTGTGTGTTTGTGTGAATCCCAACTCTAAAGATATCGATAAGATCAGTAAAAACAACAAAATAGTGTCTCATCAGTCTGAACTCTGACAATCCCATGATGTCAACCCCGGTTGCAGTCACATGACACAGGTGTTTCATAGCCAAGCTGAAATCAGCAAGAAGAGTCCTCAGGGCCAGAGGAGGAACAGACAGCAGCTGCAGAATGCATTAGAGATGATGAACGTTCCCCTAAACAACAAGGCCTCTGTTTAAAGTCTGCCTCTTTCATTTTTTCATATTCACTGAGGAAATCATGTCTGAAATGACTGTTGCTGCAACCATCTCCTGTGTGTCCCTCGTTAGGGGTTTCATTACATAATTTTAACTCAAAATAAATTTTACATAATCAACAGAAGGAAGCCTGAATGTCTGAGAGCAATTTACAAATTGCATACCTGGCACAAATGGAGTGTTTTCTATCAATCATTGTTGTTTTTTTTTAACCAAATCTCCAGAAAAAGAGGCATTTAAATTGGTTTACTTTACTAGTTATTTCCATCCTCGACCAGCAGGTGGCAATCCCATCCCAGTGTGACTGCTAACTGGTGATTTTCCTTGCCTTTCTTCCAGAAGAGTAAAGTGAATGAAATGTTTTGATTCAGGATCATGCTCTGTCACCAGAGTGACTCATCACAGCTACAATTAAGTTTGACTCTACACTCCGCTGCTCCGTCATGTCAACAATTACTACTAAGTCCCACTGAAACATGAAGCCAACCAATACATCATCACTCCCTGCCTGTTTCTGCCTACAGCACATGGCATGAAACTTTTTTATAAACATTCCCTTTATTGGCACTTTTTTTCACTGACAGTAAAAGAAATTAAAAATATCCTTAACAGAATCAGCATCTTCTGTTCCCGTAAACGGATAGAAACACTCATGCATCGCTGACTGAGATACTCTGATCGCTTCCATTTGTCAACCTAAATAAGTTGTTATTCAAACTTAAATTCATAGAAGGAATACTAATGCACATATTTATCACCAAAAAGACAAAATCTGAATATAATTTTCATATCTAACTCCACTTAATGAACAGAGTAAGTAAATACATGATAATATAAATCATACATTTTGCTTATGTGTGTGTTTCTGTAGGCAGTTCTTTACGACTGGATCTAATTCGTGACATTTAATAACACCTTTCCAAAATCAGTGCAGCAGTAGATCTTTTGCGAAGACTTTATACTGAATGCGTTCATTCAGAAAGGTTTCTATTGTTGTTGCAAGACTGATGTATTTGTTTGTTTTACATGGGCCTCACACTAGCAGCTTTGTGCCCTTCAGAGTGCAGGAGTGCCAGTCTCATGTCGGTCTTAAAAGCAGTGTTGTGCTATTTATGCTTGCCGTGCATGTTGAAGGAATTTAGTTACTTATGCAACGCGTTTTTTGAGACATCTGCCACAATTTAATTTGCCCGAATTCCACTGTGAATATGATTAGAACCTGGGCTAGGGTTCTCTTTAAATAAACTGTTTTAACTCCTCCTGTGTCAGAGTGCTGCCAGCTCCGGAGCTTTAGGACAAGGTGAAACTGCGCCTGGCGAAGATGTTGTCAGTTCTTTTAGGGCTAAACTGGGATTAGAACATCGCTCATGGTGACCTAACTACACAGATAATGCGTTCACTTCTTAATCTGGCCACCATGTCACAATCAAACCATGACCTGCTATATGGGGATGGATTAGCAGAGTATACACTAATAACACATTCAATACTGCATGTATCGGGGGAACCCCTGTGGCTACTCATCTAGATCCTATGGCTAATGACTGCACAGAGTAAGTGCACCATGACCTGCTGTAAGGAGATTTAAAACACGGCATACAACATGGGGCAAGGGATTATCAAAAAATGTACAGTATAATACTTATCCTTTAACTGGAAATATTGTAGAATTTGTTGTTAAAAGTCTACAGAGCAAAAAAAAAATCAAATGAGCAAAATATTTATATAGTAAAATCTTAGAGTTAACATTCTCCTGTTTACCTGCTTGCTTACTTTTTCATGTACCATGTTTCCATACTCTCTTGTACATTCAGTTGAAGATTTATACCCACTGAAACACTATACCGGCTATGACATGAGGGAGCTCTGCTGGCCTATGAGACGCCCCCACCCGACTGGAAACCAGTGATTTAGGACAGGATTATGAATTCCTCTAATCTCCAATCCAGGTCATGTAGTGGTGGTTCAGACCTTGATAGACAGTCATGGACAATCATTCATGGAGAGAAGGGAGACCCCGAGACATGCGGTCAATATTAGGTAGAAGTATTTACACATAAGCTTTTTATTACAAGTCTGTCTTAACAGGACTTTCCTAAACGTTGTCGATGCAAGATCAATGTGTGGCAACTGAGATGGTGAACTTCACAATAAGTTAACACTTACAGGTATGCAGTATTGGCAAAATGTCATACCATGACATTAGATATGCTATACTTTATAGCATTATCTTTTTCTGAAGTCTTTACTTCTAGTAAAGCTTTCAGTCAAATACACTATAATTCTTTAATTCAGTGTGTATATATCTGTGATCACTCAATATAAAAAAAAGATGCGTTATAAAAGTATTCCAAAATGATTTATCAATATGCTTAAAATCACAGTATATTGAACATCCCTATTACCTCCTAGGGAAATACTGTAATTATCCTGCATTGAGATGGATCTCACTGGAACTTTAATTTGTGACAATAGTTTTACAAATGGTGGTGATGCAGAGGTGCCAGTGTCCCCCTGCCAGTCCTCCATTAAAGTGTCAAAGGTTGCACATCAATTAAAAACAGCCGCAGGGTTGAGATCTTACTACTGAACAGTCGTCATTATAAAGCAGAGCTCCAAAATCTGATTGGATGAATCGCATTTGAAGCTTTTGTAAAACAGCTTATAAATACCAATATCTGTCACTGCTCAACAGTCCAGTGTACAAATACATATCAATATCAAATTTAACTAAAAACTACTGCATATTATTATCAACTGTGTTTTAGGTGGCACTGCGTCTACCAGTGTCCTTCTAGAAGCTGCAGAAGCACTGAAAGGATATTATTGATTTACTGATTTATGTTTTCCTGCCAGCATGTCAGTACTGATGCACAGTACATGTGTAGCGACTATCACCAGTCCTGTGTCTGTGCAGTGTTGCCTCCTTACCTTGGCTGCACTGATCTGTTCTTTCCTGAACCGCTCCAGAGGCATAATCAGCACATCGTTGGCATTCTCGATCTGGGGGCACACACAGACACACACACACACGCAAGCCTATTTGTGAATATTATATGATGCGAGAAATCACTTTCTAGGAATTAGGGGTGTGAGAAAATATAGAAACTAATCCACTGACAATTTCTCAGTTTACCAAAATCAAAAAATCTAAAGCATTCCCTTTTTTTAATAAATTTTAATAATTGACTTAGAGGGGTCAGCCCCATCATCCTCCCATCAACCACCTATAATATTCCTTACAATTTGTTTGTCACTCACCATGCGTGTCCTCTCATCCTCCAGGTTCTGTAGGACCGCGGCGAACTCCTGCAGAGACTTGGCTAAGGACCGACATCGGAAGAGAGAGAGACATAAAAGACAGGGAGATAATTGGAAAGAGAGGCGGAGACAGAAATTTGTTATTTCAAATAGTGATGAAGAGAGACATTCAAGTACAGGCAAACAGAAACAGGGAGTGTTTGAAGAAAGTTGGCACGAGGTGGTGGGGATGAAGCTTTGTTTCTGCTCTTGGACTTCTCACAATTTTTTCTAAACTCATGACACAGCAGAGTAATTAACTGGAAATGAAACCGCAATTTATATGGTTTGTTTCTATGGTGCTTTCACAGTGAGCACAGCTCAGTGCTCATTTCCCCACTCGCTGGCAGGCGAGGCATGGCTACATTGTTTTGGGTCAGAGTTTCCACTTCGATTGCCTCCGTCCCTGTCCAACACTTCACACACACTCTTAGTTCTTCATACACAGTGAGCACATATACATACTGGCATGTAAAAATCAATCACACATGCATGCTGATAGACAGTGGAGCCCAAGTGTATTCCTTTATCATCTCATGATAACACACACACACACACACACACACACACACACACACACACACACACACACACACACACACTCTGCTTTTCAACATCAGACTTCAAGCTTTGGCTCTTGGAAGTTAGATCCAACTATAAAGGGAGCAGAACCTCAGGACTATGCAAGGAATCCATTGAAAAACAGTACAATCCTTTAGAAATGCTTGTAAAAAGCAGTACAACATTTCAGTGAGCTAAATCACATATTCTTAATCAATCTTGTAGAATAATAAAAATGTGATACTGAGAGAACAGATAACACATAAGATACTGACCAAGTAAAACTATCACTATTTGTGGGCTATTTTTACATTGCTTTGTAAGAAATCATTATCCTTCTTTTCAATTAATAAAAGTCATTTCTTTTAACTGATACGCTGTAGATCTCTTTGGAGTAAAATCGTCAATGTATCACAGAGAAGAAATGAGTTCTGACATGAGTATAAGTATGAATATCCTAAAATCAACAGTGCCGTGGTGCAGCCCAGTTGAGCATCAAGCTGTTCAGGAAAGATAGCTGGGGTTAGTTAAACAACAGTAGTGGGTGGGTCAGGCCAGTGAGGAGCTGCAGCCTGCACAGACAGGGCCAGGCAGCATGAGAGGGTGTGGTGACTGCTGTATGTTTCACAGCAGGGTGTTTGGACAGCGACAGAAAGAGAACTGCAAGGCCTGGATGAGTTCATGGAACTAAGAATTATATTCTCATGAACACCAATATGTTTGGGTCAGAATGGAGTTTATAACACTGGTTGGAGAGAAGGGAGTAGTTGACATCAGAAAAGAAAAACAGGATATGTACAACAGGCTTAAGCAAGAGCTATGAAACAGGTCACTTTTAATAAGATAGTTTATTATGTTTTTATTATAGAGGAAGGAAACCTATACTGTACATTGTAATCTTGGCTGTATATCTCAAGTAAATAAAGTTTTTATTATGGACAATGAGCAGAAATCTACGCTGTAAACTGGCCTGTGGATCTTATGTCATCTGCACAACACATGCCCCTGATGCTGCTGGGGAAAAAACACCGATTTATTGTTGCACATTTTATAATGACAACAGAAGGTGAAGAGTAAGAATTAGGCTTGTGCACAATTAGACTATTAGAAAAATGTTTACTCTTCTTTAGGTACTTAAGTCAGAGACAGGCCTGGCAGTTGAACTGTCATGACTTTTCATATGACTAGGCATAATTGGATTGTTATGGCTTCCTATATAAGCCCTGAAAACCAAGCTGGCCTTTAAATCAGTGCTGATATGACTGTTCTATTTCAGCAACTATAAATGAGAAAGCATTGTCTGCAATCTATTTACAGGCAATACTGGTACAGAGACAATATTCAATTTCATATCAGCAATCTCACCTATGCATATCTCATCATCCGTCTCGGCATCTCCAATACACTGGAATTTAAACTCGTTGAGAGAGTCAGCAAACTTCCTCTTGGCCGTTGACAGACCTGAGAGAATGGAGGGAAAAGAAAAAGAGGCTGTTAGGTTTACTATAGGATACTTTAGAGACTGCATGCTTTTTTTAGCAAAAGCCATAGTTCAGGTTTAGTGCACCTTATTCTGTGGGAGTTCATATTTATTCAGTCACCAAGTGTAAATACTCATTTAAGGCATCACATTCTTACTTTTAACTTTGGTTACCTGGCCTAAACACATGTAAAAACACCCGTGTAAGAGAATATGATCGAAAGTGGCTAAACGTGAACGGGCGGATACTGTGTAGTAGATCCCCAGTGGCGTTAGTGATGAAGGTTGACAGCTCCTACATTTTTGCGGAGGTTTTTTTGTGTGTGCGCATGTGAGGGTGTGCTGAAAAGTGCAAAAAGTTCCATTAAACTTAAAGTCACATTAGCCAAGTGAGGCAGTGAAAGGCCTCGGACAGATGGATGCCTTTCAAATAATACATGAGGCGCTAAGAGCTCCTAGGAGACAGACACTCACGGCGAGTTTGGCTTCCCCTCCATTTAAACTCAAGGCAGGGTCACCTTCACAGCCATATTTCCTGTTGTTGGAGTGGCAGAGGTCAGCCACATATACAATTTTTGTGAAATCACAAAAATTTTAACATGATGTCCATCTTTATTGGTGCTTTGGCTAATTATTCCTTTACTTTCATGGTTAACGTTAAAGAGTAACAATGTGATGAGGTCAACCCCAACAGGGAAATCCAACTGTTCCAGTAGTTTCTGTCCTCCTCTAGAGAGGAAAAGGAGAGAAACTACACAAAACGTACACAAGCAAACATGTGTTTCAGTGGCGTTTTGTATACTACTATGAATAGAACTTGTAAATGAAATCCAGACAAGAAATGAAGAAGAGAAAGAAAAGAGAGGATGGATCAAGACTCTCATGGAAAGACAGATGGGAGTCAGGGAAAGGACAGCGAGTGTAGAGAGAAGACAGACGGAGTGTAATTGGCCATGTTTAGGTAAATACCACAGGTCTTCCATGTAGATCTGTGGGTGTGTGCACACGTTTGGAAAGAGCCGTTGCAGCTTGCCAGTCAGAGAAATAAAACACAGGCCTCGCAGCTCCTGCATGTGCTGCCAGTAACACATGCTGGCAGACACACACACACACACACACACACACACACACACACACACACACACACACACACACACACACACACACACACACACACACACACACACACACACACACACACACACACACACACACACACACACACACACACACACACCACTGTCTCCCTTGGGACTGACTCAGAAAAACATCGTAGGATGTCAGTCATGAGTGAGTCACAAAGGCTCTGTAGCGTCAAAATAACTAAAGTATGACCAAACTGAGACCACACTCCTAACTTCAAGGATAAACTGTGGTTTTACAGTACCAGTGTCCAGTAACAAAAAAAGAAAAAGTTCGTCTAGTAGTACCCTAATATCCTGTATTTTCTAACAATTCGTTCAACAACAGTAATCCTAGGCTGTGACACATTATAATAAAATAAAAACTATATCAAAGTTGAAAAGCAAACGAAAAACTGGAGTGAGATACAACCAATGTGGACCGTGCTAGAAATCCTACAATCAACTATTGCATTGAAAAGTTTTGTATAAAAAAAAAAAAATCAATGATATTTCAGTTTCTGCCTGCGAAAAAGAACCTGCTACAACTCTGACACAGTTTATAGTGAATAGACACAGTGAATAGGCACAGCAGTTCCTCACTCACTTGTGGTATTGTGTTCCACTTGAAAATGTGTTTAGGTTGAAGACAGCAGGGCCTAAAAGCTGTGCCCTGCTCTTTGAAGCTGCCTGCATGTGCATCAACAGCTTTAAAAGTCAGACAGGTCAGCACCTGGCAAAGTCATCTGTAAAATACTAGTAGTGACTTAACAACCAAGTGAAAGCCCTGCAGATGTATCAGGAAGTTATTGTACCGTAACTGTTAATAATTCACTGTAAGAGAAAGAAATATTAAGGACAATGTAGGGAAAGATTATTTTGCACGTTCATGTTTTGCTTATTTTGTACTGATGTATAGTTGTATAAAGATTTTGGGGACTGTATAACTTTCATTACCAAAAATCGGCCACCTTACATTGTTAGTTAATGAGGTTGCACTGACAACAGGTATAAACAGTCATTATTTTCAGCATGGGTGGCCTGACGTGTGACTGATGTCATGCTCTGCACCCACTGAGCTACACACAACTATATCTACAATGCCCTCCCCTCCCTCTCACTTCTCTGCTCTGTTTTTGGCGTCCGTCTCTCTTTCCTCTCCTCTCCGCCACTGACAGTTCCTCTCAGCACCTTCCGAGTGAAACATCCCCATCGTTTTTTAATTTCTTCACTCTGGCTCCAGCCACACTCTCCATGCTCTCCTTCATAAACATCAAAACCAACCACACGCCATAGAGTAGGAAAACAGAAGGGAATTTAAAGAAAGTACAGCCCCAGATACACTCACACTGTTATATATCATCAGTTTATGACTGTATGTGTATTCTAATAGTTACTGTGCGACAGTAAAACAGTCGTCCACTTCTACTTAATTTTATCGTTTCATACATTTTGTTCTGCCAACAGCAGTTGGTTTCACTTAAACATGCTGTTGCTAGTAGCAACCCCAAGTGGCACAGTTCTCCAGCAGACATTGACAGACATATTTTATCTACTCCTCAAATGCCCTTGTTGGAACATTATCTATTAATACTCTTTTATTACAGCTGCTTTGCTATTTAGTAGTTTTTAGTTTTTCTATGAGCAGCTCTAATGAAGCAAGCTGTCTGGAGCTAATGTTTTAACATTTTAAGTAACAGCTGAATTAAGCTGCCACTGGGATAACTGTATCAATATTTTTATGTATTTTGTACAACATAATGCTGATATTTCACTGGTGTAACTTTTGTTTCTTCCCGACATGAAACTCAGTATAACCAGTTTGAGTAGTAGTTGCTAGTCTGTACTTGAATCCAGTTTCCTTGTTACTGTAATAATATATAATTATAATTTTTACAACATCTTTGGTCTGACTCTTGTTTATAGAATTTGAATGATTTGTAATCACATACATTACATTTTCAAATTTTTTCTAATTAACTTTTCTGTCTAATACTGTTATCACAGTTTTACAACTGCTTCCAGTGAAATCATATCATATACTGAGTTGAGTGTGCATACATTTTTTCTCTAAATAGTTATCTAAAAGTGACGGATAAATGGTTAAAATGGCTAAAACTAACAGTTAACAGTTAAAAGATATTCAGAATTCAAACAATATTTGTGTGAGTTATCATTCACACATTTGGAACATGATTGGTGGTGTTGATGAAGGGGTATCTGAGTTCATCTGACAGGACTATTAGGGTACATCTGAAAAAAAGGTTGTGAATCACTGTATTAAAGCAGCAGCTTTTTCAACTAAGCTCAAGTGTTTTTAGATCCTTAAACAGCCACAATTCAAGCTTAAACAAAAGGGATTGATTCCCTGTTTGGTTTGATAGTCTATAGTTACTCACTGCTGAAATGAAACTGCTTCCATTAACTGAAATCATTATTCCTTCCTGTTTTGTTTTTTTTGTTTGTTTTTTTTTAACTAATGCTTTCTTATCAGCTCAGAAAACACCTAAAGTGTTGATTCTGGAGAATGTTAGAAACCACTCACTTCTGATTTTAAACTTTACCCACTTCTGCAAATACGTTACTTAAGTTAATGATTACACATATATCTGTGTAAAAATGTCATTAAACAGGACCAGAGGAAAATCCTTTTTAGAAATCTCATCTTAGATTTAAACTTTTACTAAACTTACTAAAACCAGCACACAAGAACTCCCCTTTAAAAATGCAAACCTGGACACTGTCCAGACCATACCATTATATTTTACATGGGAATTAAAATATACAGTACTTACCACAGCTTATACATCAGGTTAATACCAAAAAGAAAGCACTAAACACCTTTAAGAGTGAACACATTAGTAGTTATATAGTAATGGAATCCTAATGTATGACCGTGTGAAAAGTGAAAAATGGAAAGTGAGTTGCTTTATGTATTGTGTATACTATAATGACTTTGGAGAGTGAGTTTCAAGAAATGGCTCAACAAATCCCTAAAACAGTTGGACCATTTAGTCCTCACTTTGATTTGTAACCTAATAGAAAAATCAACAATATATCTTTTCAGTGATATATAAATATTTTGCAGTACACATTAATGTATACACTTCAATCTGGATATGGTTTATATAAATATGTGGTGTTGTGTTGCATCATAAGGCAACACATTCTACACCATGGGAAATATTATATTAATGGCTGATTTGTCCTTCCTTCCTTGTGTTTTCAGATCACTGCAATAATGATCAGCAATACCATTGCAGTGTGTGCAGAATTATATTATGTCTGTATTATTGTTCATACTATTGTTTGTCAGTTACCTGATAGTGTTGCTAACAAAATAGTAAGAAGCTTCCAAATTTTACAAGGTCCAAGCTGTATTTACATACATCCCTTATCTCATTTGTGCTGGCACACTGAGTGAATACCCTGATGACTGTGAAGTATGACTTTATTCTACTTTGGAAACAATGAACTCCAAACTGTGATGAAAAACAAACTCAAGCATTCATTTGTGTTTAGCTTTCTTGCCCTTGTAGGATGTCTCACTGTACATTTTGGCAAACGATGTGATGAGGTAACATAAGAATTTTTTCTGGCTCTTACATGCAGATACATCATGCATGTCATATCGCTCCCCATAGCCACGTTCTCAATAGATGCTGCCAACAGCAGCGCGCTCCGGCGCACGCAAACACACATATATTTTCATACATCTGTGCACACTCGCACATCGGCCCAAAGCAGGGCTCCCAGCTCACTCAAACTGTGTTTCTAAATCAAAAGCACATTGTTGGCCTATATGATTCTGTAGGATCTCGCCAACACAAATGAATTACTATAAAACAAAGAAGGAATTA